GCCACTTGTCGGCCGGCAAATAGCTTAGTTACATACACAATAAAAAGACATCGGGCAACACCGGAAGTAATCAATTCCAGCCACAATAGATCCAATGTAGGAAGGTTAAGGATCAATCGGAGTACAATGCTTGTAACCTTCGTGTTCAGTTAAACGACCACGGAGTTACTGCGTAGTAAGGAATGGAAGTGGCTTCAGTCTTATAAAGACTTTATTGTTCCTGAATTAGTATTTAATAAAGATAACGACACTGACTTTAAAGACCATTGGATCATGCTATATCTTGCGTTTGCTTAAGACAGGATCGAACATGTTCTCATACGAAAAAAGCTCAAACTCAATCCTAAGTGATTGGAAATCTTAAACCTGTCCAGACTGGCTAAAACTCTTCAACCTGATCACCTTGAATATTTTTTTCTGTTTCCTTATGTTGTGGTCTTAAAATAGATTTACATTTTTAACACGTGCAGATAATGTTACGTTTGTAAAATTCACTTTGCTGTAGTACACTTTAAAATTTCTCTTACAGTGCTTAAGGAAAAAGCATACTAAATTAATTGTGTGTGCTTAAAATTTTACAAGTTGCATGATCTATTTTACATCGTCAAGTTAACTCAATCTTGATCAAATTCTTTGTTGGCAATAAAAGTACAATAAATCCTAAACACTAACCCATGCTAGGAGCCAAATCTTTATTAAAGGTAAAATCGTTACGAGCTGTGGTGATCCGCTCATTTAGGCGGTTGGCCGCTAAACCGACGCTGAGCAAATGCGCAAAACCTTGAACACAGTTTACAGCGAACTGCGGCGGTATTGTTGGTCGTTTGCCGTAGCTGTGGTCAGCCAATCCACAACCAGATCGGACGACCGTTCCCTAGCCACGTACAGGTGGTTGGCAGAAAGTATCAAGAGAAAATTGACATGGTTATTTAGTTTCTCTGATTCTCGGTCTGTTTTGTGATATTTATTTAAGCTTTAGTACAAAAATTTGTGTAAAAGGTGGACTTAATGCCATTGACGTTTTCAAGCAGTCGAACATTTGGATGATGTAGAGAGGAGAGGAATTATCAGTAGGTGCATGAAGCAAGCAAAATCAAGATATCACTGATATATTAATATTTTATACACTAATACATTTCAGTATTAACTTTGAGGTTATTTTTACCACCTTTTCTTTGACAATAGAACGTTTGATTTTATCAGAAACTATTTCATCACTAACATTACCTTTATCCATGTTTATATCTTCTTCAACTATTAAATCATTAACTTCATTAATGAGTTCGTTTACGTCAATACATATATTGGCAGTAAGAACATCACTTTAACAACGAAACTATCAATTAAATTATAATCAACTCATGTTATTACTCAATTAGCATTGATATACGCATGTCTTAACGTAAACAGTTTACAAATAATGACGTTTTAATTAATAGTAAATAGAAACATGAGTTTAGTTATAATTTCGTAATTATAAACAATTTGTGTTCATATAATCTAAGTAATATGGCAGTTGAATATAAACCTCGTAATAAGGAAAGGAAATTAATTAATAATCTTGTGCAATATGCTGAGAAAACATGTGCCATTCACGAACAAAACCACAGAAATATACTTGTTAGGTTAAGTTTGGAGCAGAGTGTAGGAGGCAGCGGTTTTCTACTATCGTCTTTTAATACAAAATTGTGCCTATGAGTCGTATTAAAATATGAATCAAGTTGTAGAATAATTAAATTCTTCATTTTGATTGGATAGTTCAAATCTCTTCAGTATATATTATTGTTTCTAGACTTGATACTCATTATGAATCCTTCTCATACAAATTTCACAATTTATACTTCATATTCCTTGAATTTGCAATATTGGCCGAAGCGCAAATGCTTAATGGGGTTGCGAGTCAAACGCAATTACGTTCTGCTGCTTGGAGCAGGAGAAGGAACGGGGTTATTATTTAGTCACTAAGAATGTGGCACCCAGGAAATCATTTGACAATTCTCCCCGCTCAAAAAACAATACTAATGTTTGTATCTTCAGTATCAATGTACTTCTTCAGAAATACCGATTACCTCTACTTTCATAATTAATTGCACCTAAAGATACATAATCATCGTCAACAATCTATTGTTGAACCTTAGGCCATAGAATCTTCCTCTTCATCCTATGCTTTATAATAATCTTCGCTCAAAACTTAAAGTTTATCACATAAAGGATCAATTGTTGCCTTAACTCTTTCAAAATGTTTAGGTAAATAGTGAACGCGCTCTCTGTCATCCATTGCACCGCGCCCCTCACACCCGGCTCGTTCAAGAATAGCCGCCAGCCAACGTGGTGGTACATGTGTCCCACAATGACTGCCACTTGTGTAATCCATGTCTACTCTAGCTACATGTGTTCACTTGACCTGGGAATTAACTTGACTGATGACCTGTGCTTGCTATAGTATTATTTTCCTTTTGTCTTGATTGACATTCATATTCTTTTGCAATTTCTCTGATTTTGTATAATTATTTCTATTTATGATACAATTCTCACCTCTTTTTCACAATATTGTGGTGCTACAACATTTTATTACTCATCAATACATTGTCTGCTATGGCAATCACACTTCACTCCTGTTTTTCTTGACCTACCTTAATTACTAGTCCTTGGAGTATTGATTTTCAATTTGGCTTTAAAATTTCATCCAGAAAGAAAAATACGATTTGTTTGACCAAAATTGGGAACATATTAACAACACCCACTATTTCAAAAACAACCCTCACTGTATCAGGTATCGTCGACCTGTCATTCTAATTTCGGAGTAAAAATAAAATACCCAACTATATAGAATTTCAATGTTATACATAGTGTTGGTTTATTATATCGCTGATAATGTATAAAATCTTTACACTCATGAATGAAAAATTATAATACACAGATGATTCTGTTATAAATAGAGATCATGAATATATAATAAACGAAACAAATTAAGGACACACTTCCTTGGTTAATGAAATAAATAAAATAAACAACGATGGTAATAGACTTAATATTTAATTAAACTCTCAAATTGAAGATGAAACAGAAATAAATGTTTATAGTATGTAACCTAACCTGAATACTCAGTTTTATAAACTTTCTTTCTTTAAATAAACATTACTGAGATAATGTTTATTTTTTCGCATCAGCATTTCATTTTGTGAAGGCTAATAAAATCACGGTTCAATAAATAAAGAAACAATGATTGTTGCCAAACGAAATAGTTCAAATAACACGTGTGCTAGGAGATATATCATTTGGTTCTGTATAATTATTATTGTCTGTGTATTGTACATCTTTATTTTTGATACTTTTCAGATAGATGGGTAAGTCTCAAGTATTTATTTTGTCTTGTTCTGCTATTAGAAAATTGTTTTTATCTTTACTGATCTTTCATTGGTTAAGAACCTCTTCGTCATTCATAAACAAAATATTGCTCTACATTTCATTATGAACTGATGATTGCATAGCATTGCCACGTTGGATAGCAAATTAATTTAAAAGATGTTTGGATTCCTTATTTTAAGACAAGTAAATTGAAATTTTGATAGAATGATTCATTGAAATAAATAAGAGAATGAATTAGCTGTTGCATTCTCAGATACAGCCAAGTCAACGACAAGACTCCTTAAAGGTAGAACCTTCATAAATACCCTACAAACAACAACAGATTTAATACTGACAATAAATTCAACAGCAAGCAATATCTTAGTAATGTTTCTTGCGTTGTAACATTCAGAAATCTTTGGCAACACACTATCAGACGTTTTCTAATATAATTTATTAACTAGTGTTGTACAAAATATACTATGCAAAACGATTAACATCTACAGAATTTCTTGCTGTCAGACTTTATGATTAATTCGCCTTCATGTTATATTTATGGGGTTTTATGTATAACATTATCTTACATGCTACGGGACTGCACGTTTTTGAACCTTTTTTGATTTTAATTTAATCTTTAATATAGACTTTTTTTATAACCTCTTCTCCATAAATGATTGATATTCTTGATTCAAATAGTCATTAACGAAATTAAGCAAATCTTTATTGTTATAATTAGTTTAAGATTTTTTTATTAGTGTTATAATTGTTTTGTTTTTAGTGAAAATGTAGGTACATACTATAATAATAGTCAAAATATGCAGTGATGAAGAAAAAAATGAAACGTTCACGTACAGAACTTTCAACAAAAGAAACCTTATAATAAAACGCGGTTCCATACCTTAACACGATGTTTTACCAAAAAAAAACAAAACATATAATATACTTAATACTAGTTTCTGTCTTCCCGTTTAGAAGACGGAAAAAATAGGTCTTCTATTTCGGAGGCAAATCTCATTAAGTAGTTTTTACATAATAGTAGCGAACCATTCTTACATACTACTTGGAAAACTATCGCGTTTTTAATATTAGTCGGATTCCTAAACCAGTAACGTGTTTAACCATCATTATAACTCATCAGTTAAGGTATTCACCATTAATTACGTTAATCTGTTATCCGCGTGATGATAACGTTATCTAATTGGGTCGCGGTTACGCCTTATTTTAACTGGTAACCCTAAAACTGTTTGATCGATCATGGTTAACAACCTATTTTGATAAGAGATAGTATCTTTAATGAAAAATGCTCTAGTTCCTGCTTTAAAATAGTTTCGTAGTTTTGTGTGGAGTTTATAAGTGTAATAAAGATGTCTAACAATTATGGACAATGATATATGTATATAGTTTGGTATATAAACATTATTTAATAAGGTAATAAATTACACTATAAAGTTTTTATATTTGATTTATTACGTATGCATTATGTAAATCTGGTAACTGCCATACTCAGAATTATTTAATGGTTATTTAAACCAGGCTTTTAAAGATTGATAATCATCAAATGACTTGTCTCTAGATGGGAAAGCACTGACTAAAAACTACGTCGTTCCGTACTCCGCGTTTGACCCGCAAAATTTCGTTTAAGTAGTAATTAAATGTTTATAAGTAGGACGGATTACCTGATGGTAAGTAATCAGCGCCGCCCATGGACACCCGCAACGGAGGAGTTACAAGTGCGTTGTCAATCTTTTAAGGATAAGGGTTTCGGAGATTTAGGGATTGAGGAGGGATTGGGGGAGGGTAAGGATTGGGCCTCCGGTAACCTCACTCACACGGTGAAACAACGGTGTGTCAGTTCACGCCGGTTTTCTGTGGGGCTGTGGGTATCACTCCGGTTGAGCCGACCCATTCGTGCCGAGGCATGGCTCTCCCACACTTAACGCAATGGAACAGTGGAACGCAATTGAAAAATAAATTTTACCTTATTTCTATAAAAAGTACAAGGTACCTTTACCTACCTACCTATCTTAGCATTTACTATTTACAATTCTTGCAAAATAAAATACACGGTAGCGTCCAAGAAAATTACGCAAGTAAATCCCGATACACCGCACGACAGAATTCCACCTCAAAATAAATAAATGAAATAAAATTAAAATCATACCTACATTTCACGATATTTTACGTCGGAAATCTCACGATGAAACTGATCGTAAATAACGTTTATTCACCCATAACGGCGGCCATATTTATTTTGAAATAAAACAACGTAAAATTGTATTGTAAGAATTACAAGCAACGTAAATCATTGCTCTTAAAACAAACAATGAATTGTAGAAAATGTAAATATCTCGCGATATTATTGGCTGGCCCGAGGAATCGTGCCATAAGTTTTGATGTTTTGCCAAAAAGATCAAAGGACTGACCTTGGAAACGTGCACTGATAAAGACTCGGGCGATACTGTGAACCCCGTTCATATTTTATTGAGGATATCGTAAAAGTCATATTTTTATTACTTAGAAAATCACGTGTCTTACATAAGATAGGAATATGGTACATTTTATTTGAATTTAGAATAAAAAACCCATTCTCTTGTTTCATAGGCATATGTGACAAAAGACAAGTCATACAATTTACGTTTATAACAGCGTCTAAATAATTATACAGAAATAAAAAGAACCAACAGGAAAATCCACTTTCACAAAATTTTACGTGAATTGTTCTACAAAAGTTATCATAGTTCTAAATCACATTTACCGTCTAGGTAACTAAGACAATTGTATAAAATAAATAGGATTTAAGTGGCCGACGACATTAGAGCTTTGCGAAAGGATTATGATCGCAGTCGGTGTTAGATCCCAAAGACAATTAAATAATGCCTAAAGCCAGTTACACAAAGTTGGAACAAAAGCGAAGTTCCCGGGCCCGGACAACTTGCGGCGGGGACAAAGGTCCTTTGTTTACAGCTAATGTACGGCGTGCTTTGTCACTGCGGCTAAAATTTTGACTTATTGTCGGCCAACGTGATCGTGTGTACACGTCTTTAAATGTCCGATATTCAGGTGAAAGTGTTAACTGTGGAGGGAACGTTAATTAATTTCAATTGTTTTTAAATTTGAATGCTCAGAATTGATTTGCAAGATGCTTTTTGCGTCAACTTCAAGTAGGAATTACAACAAAACGTCTCACAAAAACTTACTTCTTCTAAACTTGACAATGCAAAAGCTCCAAAGACCTATCCTGTCCTATTTCAGAATGGGGAAAAAATAAGAATTTATTTACTCATCGATTAATACGAAAGCAATATTAACGTTCAATAAATCCCAAAAAATTTACAAACTTCACTTTCACAAAAACCAACTATTTAAATCCAATTACAAATGCATCCAACAATTAAAAAAAGAACGTAATACAACATAATAATAGCAATCAATCAAATCTTAAAATATTATATTTCATATTTTAAAAACTCATGCAACCATAAACAAAATGCCTTTTGGAGTTTCAGCTGGTATATCCCTTTGTCAAAGGTTGGCGAAGCGGATAATATTTATTTTCTCATAATAGCAAGACGAGGGAGGCTTGCATAAGAATTGAAAAGCAGATAATTGTTAATACAAATTTATAAGTTAAAGTTACGTTAGTCTATGGTTTGTGGGATTAAAAAGGCGAAGGATTTTTGTTCGAATCTTTTTGAAACGTAACCTCCTTTCATAAATTTAAGAGAGTTGTATGAAACATTGGATATTTTTTTTACACCTTCTCATAAATTGCCAGTGTGAATTATGTAGTGATGTGATCTTATTCTTCGTCTCGTAAGCTCTAGATCCCAAACACGTTGATTGCACAATCTGACGACGCAATCCTCCCCAATAAAGATGGCGTTACTGAGCAAGCAAAGCAAAGCTCTAGTACTCATTTAATAAAAACCTTTCATCATAATTTTCGCTTCGAATAGGAAAAATGTAATATAATTAGGTAATCGTAAAATCTCATAGCGTCCCATCCATCACACCACGATAATGCCAGGTTTGATTGATCGCAATTATTTTTGTTGTTTGCCAGTCTTCTTTGTGTACCACTTACATTCAAAAATGGCCTTTAACGTCTGTCACCATGTCACTATTTTAATTGATAACTTATTTATCATTATAAGTAGGAACAATGCGTAGGCGTAAACTCTGATTGACGATATACTATATACATATATTAACAAGTAAATAAAATGTATATATCTATATTTATTTGATCTAATAAAGTCTCCATGTCTCGATCACACACGATTTATATAGTTATAATTTTGAACCTTAGGGTTCTTTTCCTTACTCTACTTTCATGAAACAATGAATTGTTTTCAAAATGGCCATAATACATCGATATAAAGTAACATGTCATGCACATACTCAAACTAAATTGTCATTTAAACGCACCTTGACTGCCTTTTCTTCCAAATGTATTTAGGTATAATTATAATACTTCATAATTAAGGTTGAAATTATATTTTAAACAAAAAATTTTGACAAAAAATGTCAATGTCGATTTTTGGCGTTCGATCTATGGAGTTTCTACATGGATAGAGAGATTTTAGTTTAATACCAGAAGTCACCCTAAAATTGTCTTTTGAAATCGTCATCGTCAGACAATATTAACTAAAACAAAGCAGAACTTTCCACGTGTTTAATAAAATATTCGAACAATATCTCAATTCAGTTATAGTGAAAGTAGGTTATGATAAGCGTTACTGCGATATACAGGGTGCATCCGAGCGTGTGTTGCCATCGCACGCTGCTATAACCACGGAACTATAAATGTTCACATCATTTCAATCACATGGCCGTATTTGTTACATGGTTTTACGTTTCGTTACCTCTGATTTGTTTTCTTGCCGTATTTCATAAAACAGATATAAAAACTTAAAGTCTCTATTTCAACACAAATCATTCAGAATAACAAAGCCTACGTGTATTTTAATGCAATCATTAAAATAATTATTATATTTAGATTTAGGAACGTAAATTCCAAGTTCTGAAACAATCAAATTTATTGGATACACTTCAAAGTCTAAATTATACATCAACAACAAAAACCATCAAACTCAATCTCAGTAAGCAAGGTAACCAACCTATTTCTGCAACATTGTAGATCGGAACAACGTAATTCAACCGGTAAACCACTATTTATATTACAAACACATAGAAACGTTGTAAATACGTCTTATTACCAAAGTATAATAACTAATAACCACACCCAACCTATAATTTTGAATTTTCTATTCCAATCTTAAAATTACGAAGCGCAATCGGGTACATTCGGCCTACGTTCGGCTTGAATTGACCAATCATAGCGTTGAGTTTGAAAAAGGAAGATGCTGTTGAAATAGGTAGGCCGCATTACCGTTAATGTTTGTCGGTTATTACTGGCCAGTTACTTGTTTATTAAAGAAATCTTTTTTGAAATCATATTGGAGTTAAAGAGAACGTTCTAATTTAGTAGTTTTCCTTGTATTAAGATATTATCGAAAGTTTCTTATGACTTGAAATTGTGATTAAAGTTTGTTTTGTTTTTCCTTTAAAGTTAAACAGATCAGGGAACACAACGCCAACAAAAGCTCTAGAGATTGTAATCTCTTTTCTTTTCTTGAACACTGGGAACCATAAGATCCAATTTCATTCAATTCCATAAAGTACCTTTTAGTTGCAATCTTATTTCGAATGTACTACCGCATTAAATGGAAATAGAAGCTAGTTTTTAGTAACGGTCATTCTGTACGACTTCTTTTAGCTTTGAAAGTATTTTTATTTGCTTTTGTGGTTTTTTATTAGTCACTACAGTGTAGTCGTAATGTTTGTAATTAATTTAAATCATAGATCTCATTTTCGTAGTGCCTAAAGCAAGCATTTCAAAGTCTTTTAACTTTCATAGCTTGCATTGGAAATATTCATTGCCAACCTTTTTCGGCTCTCTTATAAAATCTTTTATTTGGTCCTTAATCTTGGAAAATCATCAAATTACTTCTCCCGCCCTTGATTAAAACCCCGTTCCTTCTCCAGCTCCAGGCAGAGGCCACGTTACTTCATTGCGCTTACCCGCAACACCCTTAAAAACCGTTTTTTGTAGTTCTATAACTAATTTCTCATATCTTTCCAGAGCTACCGCGGTCGGAAGCCTCTTGGTGGTACAGCGGGAGTGGCCGGCGCCGGAGTTCCCGGCGTGGCTGCCGCAGCATCGCCCAGCCCTGCTCCTCAAGCCCCGGCAGCACCCAGCCCTGCCCCGGCCACCACACCAGCTATGAAGCAGGAACATCCTAGCCAGCCCATGGTAAGTTTCTATTTCATTAATTACCAGAATCTGCAGGGCATCGTGAATGAAAACATTTTTCCGTTAAAATTTCAGTACGTTATTGTGTACAAAACATTACTATATACTTACAAAGCTTTCTACATTAAATTATTATTACGAACATATTTGGAAAGTTCATCTTAGCAAGTAACATTATTTAAATTCATTGCAATTCTCCCGTCCATTTTACTTAAAGGAAATGATGGAACCAATTTAGCCAATTCGAGTCAATCTTCATCTAGGACTTGATTAGTTTCTGCGTTTAATTTAAGACCTAGGATATACCGTAGCGGTTTCTGTTGGACTAAATGTAATTATCCAATTTGAAAATACTGCTCGTTTCCTTTTACGAGTAATGGACGTTTTCTTATTTAATTCCGCACTCTATTTAAGTAAATTAATTCAAAACTAGTGTGTGTAATGTATAAAGTGTACAACATCAATTAAATGGAATATCCATTCAATGAGTTATTCTGTTGAAAAGTTAAAATTAATATCGCAATAAAGCAACGGTATTATAATTAAGTTAATCATAATGTTTACATGCTGGTTGAGTTGTCAACGTTAAAATGACACATTTACTCGCCTTTATCCATGAAATTAACAATTGGGAATTTGGGAATTAAAAGCAGCGAAATTGTAACGTGGAACAGAGGCAGCGCGGCAGCGTGATTACACCGGGCATAAAACATGATTATGGTTTTATAACAGTAAAGTATGGGATTTGCATAAGTGTATCATAACGAGCCATTACCATAATCGTTGTCATTTAATGGCTGGTTTTAACAAGCTGCATGATTGCTTTATAAGTAATTATAGGGCCCGGACATGGTAATTGTGTTTATAAATGTCTGCCTGGTTTAATATTAATGGTTTTATGAACATGAAACAACCTCCATAACTAATTTCACCAGCAAATAAAACAAGTCTACTTTTTACAACTTAGGTTATTGACCAAGTTAACCTAATATTCTTTTAATTTAACACATAAGTTATTACTTTTATTCATTACAAAAGCTTAGTAACTGGCTCGGCTATCTCTTCCGCGACACTGAACTTCGTAAGTCGTAAACATTGTAATCCAGCCGCACATTATTCCTAGGTTTAAAAAAATATTCTTACTATTTGGTGGCGAAGTTTCTTTCTGTACTTAATCCTATATTTTTGGCCTTAATGGTTTGTAAAACTGGTCCGTTTCTTATAGGACTAATAACCTAATATTTAGAGACAGAAAAAACAGACTCGACACTGCTACAAAAAAAAAAAAAGCAAAAAGAGGTCTCAAAAAAGAAATTGAATTGTTAAATTTTCGTAGGTAAATGCGCTCGTCAAACTTATTCCATTTGTTTATTCCTCTGTTCGTTTGCATTTGACGAAAACGTCTTTGTGACTGTTGATAAAATTATAATTGAATTTGTTTTAGACAATTGCTTTCCGAAATGGAAGGGTTTAAAAATTGGGGTCGGTAAAAATATACGTACTATGCTGATTCATTTGTAATATTTTCTTCAGTTTCAGTTTGATTTTTTACACAAATAACAACATAATCTACTTAAGTAGGTACAGAAAATCCTAATAAGCAGCAAACGCGGCAGAAAACATCTAAAAAACATGTTACGTTCACTTTGCATCGTATTACAGTTGTTATTTTTAACCATTAAATATTTCCAAGAGTTTCTTATTGAATTCAAACTGAACTCTAACAACACTACGTCTAGTTCAAATAACTAGTTTTCCATAACAAGATGTCAAAGTGGGAAATTTTTAATTTGCGCCGCGAACCAAACTTTGGCAATTTCAGTGCAGTGGGCGCCCAATTTATGTTCGTTCCTACCAGAATTTCTATTTTATTTTAAAACTGGCCAGTTATATGGCAATAAGACTGTCGACTTTCGCGTAATGAATAAAAACTTCGCTAATTTAATTTGAAAAAAGAAACAGTTTAAATTTTGAAGCGTTCTTTCATTAAGAATCTATCTAATATGTTTTTTTTATTAGTTTTTGATAATAGAAAAATGAATAGATTCTTTTTCATTACTTCAGTAAATAAATGGATTGTTTTTTTATTACTTCATCTCAGCAAATTTCTTGATCAAAAGCGATACTACAACAAGAAGACACCATTTTAATTGTACGAATAACAAAAATGTAACGTTTTTTTTTTACAACAATTTCCTAATTACACAATGGGTTCTAAATTTAGAATAGCATAACTCAGAACAACTATCAAAGCTACAAATAAATTCAATTGCTTCGGACAATGTGTTGGAATGCCCATTCATGGCGGGAATTGCCAATAATCGGCATGGTTATCAAGCGGCCATTGTTCACAGATATATAATAATTCATTAACAACAATAAAACCCGATAAATTGTTTGTTACTGCCGCTGGTATTGTGTGATAATAATTGATTTGTTGAGCTGTAAATAAACATGAAAAATTAAAGGGAAAATTGAGTAAAAACATTTTTTTGTTTGTAACAAAACATATAACGTCATGTAGACTCAATTTCATAAACAAATTACGGATAAAATAGATAATGTACCACGGCTCGGAACGGGAAAAGGAACGCGGTGGTTTTTAGTCAGTTAAAGTATGACTCTCGCCCCACCCAGACCAGGAGAAGTCATTTGATGATTTTCCTACTTAAAGAAAAGGGTTAAAATTTTAATCTCAGAGTTGATAATATTATGCTACAGCACAAATATTTTATAATAACTTTAAATAGAAATATATAAAAGCAATATTTAAATTAAAAAACATTTATCTTTCTACCTTTTTACAGTCAATTAGGGAAAAGATTACAATTGCCATGAAATGAATAGAAATCGAACGATATTCGAGATTAGTACAACGCTACTGATTGGGTCTAATGACAATACAATATCTATATCTATGTCTATATAAAAACTGTTGATACAGAATCAAATTGGCGCGCTTTTTTATTGAAATGTCAAATCTTGGCCATAAATTCGAATCTCCATGCGTGGGCAGGGGAGGGCTGTTCATAATTGTGTTCAATTATGCTCTGAACGCAATTATGCATACCATCGTAATTTACGTTAACATTGTAATTGGGTAATAAATAGAGAACGCAATCCTGTTGTCATCTCAACTCGATTATATAATTATCTGGTGGCCATCGAGGTTAATAAATTTTCGGACTCGTTAATAAAATTGAATTCAATTTATTTTTCCTGGCAACATTCATTATGAGACGTTCTTCATCGCCATCTTTGTTCCAATTCAAATTTATAAAAGTTGACGGAAATAATGTTAAAATGTTATAAAAACATTAAAATGTAATTTAATTTCAATCTAAATCATAAAATCTGGATGGAATTAATTAGTCAGGAAGTGAGTAAACGGCACATGTGTAGTAATAAACAAGAATAATCTCGTTATAGAATCTCATTACGACGACATAACAAAGTTTTAATTACGAACGACGCACGTACGTCGGCATGTTAATAAAATATTACCTAACTTAGCAAAAGGCATCCCCTTCGTACTGAAATTAAAATCTTAGAAACTTCAACGAGTTTCGAAGGAGCATTACATTATAATTTGTTACGTAACATATTTACTTTGGCCTGCCAACGTTTAACACGCTTAAGTTTTGTAATTTAATAATTTTCCTTCAGTTACGAACGCAGCGTTATGAAAAAAAAAAATTATGGCGCCGCCAGTTTTATTCGTTTATTTTGTAATTACGTAGTTTATGCCTTTGGAAATTTGCAACCACTATCTAAGTAACTTTTTCAAACATAGAACTTCAAAATAGATTTCAAATACTACTAGGCACGCATGCCAAATAAAAATACGAATTGAAAATCCAAAGACCTTCACGTACAGGGCCAAATCACAAATGCTTCGCAGTACCTACTTATTATTTATGAGGTCATCCCAAGTTTTTGAAGTACCTTGACCTTCCGTGAGATTTTTCAAATTACGTTGTCATGTTATAAGTACCTAATTTATGTTTTTGAAACACATACCTTATGGCAATCCTTTTCCCTATATACAGAACTAAAAAAACAACTGATCTCTAAAACACTGAAAATCTTAAGTAATACACACAAGACATGGCTGTCAAACGTTATTCCCGCTCGTAATTCAGCTTGACGCTTGTGTAAACAGAATCCGCGGCCTCGGTCATCGTATGATTACGTAGGGGCAGTTCACACGATACATTATGTAGTAAACATTGTCCGAGCCAACCTCGACATACATAACACAATATTAAATGACTCGCGCGCTAATTATCTAAAACGGTACAACTCAACTATTGTAAAAACTTAAAATATTACGAGGACACAAACATTCATGTTGTCCTTTAATTTTAATGTGAGAATATGTTGTTACATATAAATTATTTTATTGTATACTGGTTTTGAATAATAATTTTAACAGTGTTTCGTATTGTTGCAGGCACCAATGCCGTTCTACGCTGGAGATCCGAACCGTTTCCCGACCGCCTGGCAGACGGATCCGTCTCAAGGTAAGTACTAATAAGTTTAAATATCTTTACGCATACATACTGTAGAAAAGCATGCCCTCATACTAGCGTCAAATCAAATCTTTAAAAATCCATTAATAATTAATAAATTGGTTTATTTACAGGTTGGCAGAATCAGTTCATTCAACAACTCCCTACACAGACAGGTCAGACGACACTAGACTACCAGGGTAACCATACAGCGTATGCTACTTCACCCCACTACCAAGCCAACACCACGTACACCGTCCAGAATGTTGCCACCGCCTTTGATGCCAGTAACAACACGTACTACCAGGCTGGCATCCAGTCTGTGCCGGCTCAGAGGCCCCCCTCAAACCGCGGAGCATACACTCCGGTACCATCGCCTAGAGCACCTCATTATGCTGCAGAGTACCAACAGCAATATGCTCAAGCAGCAACACCTGGCACTACATCAGGCAACGATTCCCGACCAGCGTCGGCCGCCTCATACCAAAATTCAGTACCTACAACAGCGGCAGCTGGATACAATGTGAGCCAACAAACTTATGAGCGCACTGAATACTCGCAAGAACACCAAGACGAATATTCTAACCCAGAAAACGGGTCGGGAGATACCAGCAATGAAGGTGAGAGACAAGAACAAAACACGCCTAATGGACAGCATTCGGGAAACGCCGAGCCTGGATACCTGCAGGGGAGCAACGGTCCGCGAGCTTCACTCGATTGTAGCGGGTATTCGGGCGGCTATAATAGCGGACAGTACAGGGAGAATGGGCAGTCACAAAATCAGAACGAATGGCAACAACATCAGTGGCAGCATAACCAAAGATTACAAAACCAACAGATGCAATCTCAGCAACAACAGTTGCAAAATCAGCAGCAACAACAACAACAACAACAACAACAGCAGCAGCAGCAACAGCAACAACAACTGCAGAACCAGCAGATGCAAAATCAACAACAGCAACTACAAAATCAACAGCTGCAAAATCAATTGCAAAACCAACAAATGCAGAACCAACAAATGCAGAGGCAAGAAGATGAGCAACAGATGTTCTCACAATCAGACAGGGTGAATTTGAACTCGAGACTGAAAACGATGATATTAAACAAACAGAACCACACCCGAGACGGCACTAACACTCCGCCAGACAAAGGGGACCCGGGAGAAGGGCCGCCTCGAGTGATTGACGATAGAAAGACCGGTGCCATCACCGTGAATGACGATAGAAATACTACCGGTCATTTTTTATCGTATAGCCACCATCTCCGAGATAATTACCGCTTAGGCGAGCAGGCGTATCCTATCGCTGGTAATTATACACAAAACGCCCAAACTTTTGGTACGGGCGAGTTCGGAGGTGGTGGCCACCACGTATGGGAGGGGGGGACGGAAGTCCCGAGGAATTTTGATAAACATGCTTCGACTAAGAACGTAACTAAAACTCCTCAAAAGTTACCGTCTTATGCGGACATGAGAGGTCAATACGGTACATACTCAAACGTACCTTATGAAGCGCAAAAGTATGCAGAAATTTATAATAATGATAGTTTAAGTTTTAATCAACAAGATAGTAAGGATTTTCAATCAAAAATGCTTATTGGACCAGTATCAGAAATGAACCAACAAAACTGCAACCCGTCTAGGGACACTAACGCACAAAGAAGAGCTTACGAGACTAGGGAAGCGTATGACGACAAATTTAGACATCCTTCAGCACCTTTAATTCCAAAACTGGAAGTGCCTGACACTTATCAATATCATAAAGATGACAGATTATTGAAAAATGATCCACAGAGGTTAATTAACCAAAATTCATATCTAAAACCAAATGAAGTGCCTGTCAACAACAATTTTAGAGAGTTCCCAAATGGAGCACCGAGGTCACAACAAAACACTGTGCTGCCGCCGATATCGACAATAAAGCAAGAGAACTTCGGTCAAAAGCCACAACCTTATCAACACTTTCAAAATTTTCCATATGGGGAGCCCATGAGACGTACAGAGCCGGCTGAAACATATGCACAAATACCACGAATGCAGGAAAACATGGGCTTCCAAAAATATAATCGAAATTTCCCTGACCCCAAAGTAAAAGAACCTGAGAAAGTTATTGATAGGACCTCTTCGGTTGATCCAAAGCCTCCTTATTATATAGAACAAATCAAGTCGGAGCACTCTCCACCGGGACACAAAATTTACAAGAATCTACCATACAACCAGCCACCGCGGAACGATCCATATCTGTTCCCAGGGGACGGTGGCCCTGCAGTCATAAGAAATGAAGTCGGGTACTCATGCTGTCGGCAAGGTTCGACAAAGAAACCTCCACCAGAACATTTAAGGGATGGTGCTTGTCCCGGTCTGCAGACCAAAGATGAAGTTTTAGAAGACGATCCTGAAGCAACAGATAAAGCGGACTCAAAAAATGGATCTAAACCTAGTACACCAGTTCCAGACTTGAACAAACCTAAGGAGAACCAATTTAACTACTCCAAAGAATACCTCGATAACTTAGAAAGGTTGCGAAATAATTCTAGAACAGAAGTTCCCGATTGCAATTGTTTTCCTGCTGATAAAAATCCTCCGGAACCTGGCAGTTACTACACTCATTTAGGTAAGCAAAGTTGCTACAGTTCGCTTATAAGCATTCGTGACAAAGAATATTCAATATATCTTTATAATTTTTGTACAGGTGCTGCATCAACTTTGGCAGAATTGAGAAAAGAATTAGAAGCTCGAACTGGTTTGTCAGGGAAAGAGTTGAGGATAGAGAAAATCTGTTATACTGGGAAGGAAGGGAAATCGGCACAGGGCTGTCCGATGGCTAAGTGGGTGAGTGTATGGATCGCAGCCTTATTCTCATTATTGTCAATTGTTAAATATAATTAGTTATCGTTTAGATTCAGCTCGATTATCCATTAAATTTTATTATATGTCTAATGGCCCATTCAATTGTTCCAGGTTATAAGACGAGCAAACTACACAGAAAAGGTTTTAGTAGTAGTAAAGTTCCGTAATGGACACAAATGTGCCACATCCTGGATTGTCGTGTGCCTTGTCGCCTGGGAAGGTATCCCCCAGTCGGAAGCTGACCTGGACTACACCCTATTATCACACAAGTTGAATCGATATGGTCTTCCCACTACAAGGCGATGTGCCACTAATGAGAATAGGACTTGTGCTTGTCAAGGTAAGTAAGGTCAAGTAAGGTGTCACCGTGTTGTTTGAATAATTTTAATTTCAAATATTAAAATAGAAAGAATACGAGTATGTTTTTGCATACTAGTTCATCTTTAACAATTTGACCGTCTTTCCAGGCCTAGATCCTGAGACCTGCGGTGCCTCTTATAGCTTCGGTTGTTCCTGGTCGATGTACTACAATGGATGCAAATACGCCCGTTCAAAAACAGTTCGCAAATTCCGCCTCTCTGTGAAGACGGAGGAGAGCGAGATAGAAGAACGCATCCACGTGCTAGCGACATTACTCAGCCCGTTGTACATGAACCTTGCACCGAAAGCCTTTGAGAACCAAATACAGTTTGAAAAGGAGGCATCTGACTGCAGACTTGGCTTCAAACCTGGACGACCATTTTCTGGTAAGTAGAGAAAACATTTAACTGTTCCAACACAGTAATAAAATTATCAATACTGTAATCCTAATTGACTGTTTTCGTAATTTAAGGTGTAACAGCATGTATCGACTTCTGTGCCCATGCTCACCGTGACCTCCACAACATGAACAACGGCTGCACTGCTGTAGTTACTCTTGCCAAGCACCGGTCCCTGACCAGACCACCTGATGAACAGCTTCACGTACTCCCACTCTATGTCTTGGACACGACTGATGAGTTCGGCTCTAAAGATGGACAGGATGAGAAAGTCAAGAGCGGAGCCCTTGAGATTCTCGACAAGTGAGTGGTGATGTACATGTTTTCATTATTGCCTACTTTAACTTTCTGTTATGTTCTCATTACAAAACTGGATAGTGGAATTCAACTTTACCTATTTAAGATCTTCAATGTTCCACATAACTGACTACAGAATTTTAATTCCAGATATCCTATGGAAGTGCGTGTTCGATCAGTTCCTCTGCAGCCATGTCGTCGCCATGGGAAAAAGCGAAAAGACGACGAGAATGCAGAATCAAACACTTCCAACAACAGCAACAACTCGCAGAGTCCGGGAAATAATCAAAAGAAGACTCAGCAGTCTCCAGCTCCGAGGACTCCACAGCCTGCAGACGCTAGGAATAACGCTAGTCCTCGAAGTCAGAGTAGCGCGTCTCCCAGGGCCATAACGCCAGCTCTCAACCAATCGAATCCCTCGGCGTTTACAAATAACTCTCACTACAACTCCGCATTTGTAAATCCAAATATGCAACACCAAAATCCAGGACTCATCAACCCTAACCTGGGCAACCCAGCGCTGTTGGACATGGCAACTATGATAGACAATTTTACAGACGCACAACTGCAAAGCAACCAGATTTCCAGTACCGTTCTAGATTCGCCATATAATCCTTACGATCAGAGTTATAATTTGCACCATCAGAATGCTATATACAATCCAAACCATGTCTCTCCGATAGTAGAAGGTGCACAAATTCAGAATCATCAGAATCCAAACCCCAACCCGAACCCTAATCAGCTCCCAAGTTTTGCTGCTGGATTACAAAAGAGAGAACAACAGTTTCCAAACCAAATGGCTCCTCAAAATCAGTGGCCAGATTTCGGAAACACAGAGCTATTTAACAATGTCGTTAAGGAAGATCCAGATTCCACTACAGCTCACTTAAATGTTCCTCCTAATAATTACAGTCCAGATTCTAGTAGAAGTGAAACGAATTCAGATTCGCTTTTACCAAAAGTAACTCCAGAGCCAGAGAAACAGAATTTAATCGGGGATATCACAAACAAAATGCCGGAATTTGACATGCCCAGTTCGCCACGGTTGACAGAGATATCACAAAATTCGCAGAGCACACCTGCTTCTCCTGCGCCGTCCCAAATCCCAGAGTTAAAGTCGCCAAATAATGATCTTATGAAAACAGATGGACGACAAAGTGTGTGGAAGTCACCAGACTCCAAGAATTGGGACCCAAAAGCCAAAGAACAGCCGATAGCTGAAAATGAGAATTCTTTGTTTAGAGTCCCGAAAGCTAGACCACCATCGAGATCACAGCATACTAATCCACCTGAAGCTATCGAGAACTCAACTTTCTTGAAACCATATCCACCCTCAGACAGACCTCACCTAAGCCAGGGTTACGAGCACAGGAGTCCATACGACAGTCGATTAAACAATGCTGCGCCACAAACCTCAACTGCGCAAAACAATTTCACTATCAATCATGATGAACAGAACATGCAAGTAGCTGCGAACAAACCAGTTGCAGAATTCCCAGGAAACAATTTCCACGCAGTGAATCAAAACTCCTATGGGAATCAGGCGCAGATACAAAGTTACGGCAATTATCCACAGGTTGCAAATGCCTACTCATTCCCACCAAACCCTTACGGTCATTTTAATCCCTACGAAAACACATACAACGATTACAACAGCTTAGCCTATTACAACGCTGAGAAATACAAGAGAGAAGAGCTACTTAGAAACCCGCATTGCTACAATTCTTACGGCTATCAGTACAATCCCAATTTTGCACCAAACTTTTACCAAAACCCAAGTCCAAATTGGTGTCAGTCATCACCGAACTGGTGCATATATCCGCCACCATTTTCTATCCCCTACCCGCCTGAGCCACCTAAAGCTGAACCAATTGGAGAGGTAACAGAATTCACTGAAAACCTCGACTGTTTTAAAGATAGTCAAATGGGTGGTGTGGCTATAGCACTGGGTCACGGAAGCGTTCTTTTCGAATGCGCTAAGCATGAGATGCACTCTACAACGGCTGTAAAGAGCCCGAACAGAGTCAATCCGACAAGAATATCTCTAGTATTTTACCAACATAGAAACCTTAATCGTCCCAAACATGGTCTTGAAGAATGGGAAGAAAAGATGAGGCTTAAGAAACTGGGACTGAATCCACCGACACCTGGTACGCCAGGACCAAATTCAAATTCGGTGTCGCCGGCCACTACACCCGGGCCCGAGCGGCAGCCGGGTGGACCTGAGAAGTGGAAGAGCGGGCCCTCGGATGCAATCCCAGGGGGGTTCGCTTCGCTGTCGGCGCTAGTGGAAGCCACGGCAGCCGCGCGGCGCAGCGGGCAGGTGTTATTGCGCGCCGACACCCAGACGACGATGTCGTGGACCACGCTGTTCCCGATGCACCCGTGCACGGTGACGGGCCCCTACCAGGAGTCCAGCACCTGACGCAAGCTCGCGCCTTCCCGCGCGACAACTAACACGAGGCGCTCCGACGTCCCTTCCCTAGCTATGTAAGCTCTGTGTTGCCTTTCGATTTTAGAAGTTTCTAATCGTCGATTAGAGCCATTGTGCTTTCCAATATATTTTGTAGTTCCTCGACTTATGATAAGTATTAAGTGCGGCGCGGCTCTGGTCCGGCGTGCTGCCAAATTGAAAATCCAGCGATTCCTTTTATGCATTTAAAGAATTGGAATTGAGTACCGTTTGTAATTGAAATATTTTTTAAAACGTATACCGAGTGAGTTTTAATCAAAGATGTAAGTTTAAGTTTTAATTTTAAATAGTGTTTATCGCATTTCAGCTAGTCTTACGTTACGTTAGAATCGATTGTATTTTGTCAAAGTGACCGTAATCGTGTAGATTTTTTTTGTATATTCTTGTCGTATTTAAGTTGACGATCGTTGACCCGACCACTGAGCGGTTAGTTTAATTTAAACAGACTATTGCTGTATAGAATAGTGACGTAATGTATGTTTTGTCTGCATATTTTGTCGATGTTTTTCTAATTAAGCGCATAATCGAAAGTTTTGTGCGACACAATGATCTCATAAACTACTAACCCTACATTATGTAACGTTTATCAGAACAAAAGTACAAAACAGTAGGACACACATTCGGCGGTCGTGGTTACACATAATTTTGTACCTTTGTCTGTCAATTAGTTGTTTTATTTAATTTGTAATGTTTATTACCATTCCTGTAATTCTGAACATTTGTTTTGGCTTATAATTTAATTAACGCGGTTCGGCCGCTAGTATTTTACCACAAAGATACGAGTGCTTTTCTATTAGGTTAAGTCGTGTGTATTTTTAACTTTTTAGAATATTTAACTTATTTATATTGTATTACGTGAACCATTATCGTATCATTTTCTTTGTAATAATTTAGTGTTACTGTAGACTTTAATATTTAATATATTTGCTTTATGGCTCGATCATTAAATTATTACAGGTTGTTTTATGCATGTTTCAAGGTCGCCTTCTTTATTTGTCAAATCGAGTGCCTGTATTTTTGGCTATAAATATTAATTGATATTATAAAGAATCTGATTTACGAATATATTATGAATTGTGACCTTATTGTTTAAGAACTGCGATTGCATTATACGAACATTCTTCTAACTTAGTGACGATAAAAATTTATAAAATTAGAGAGCATACAATAAAATAAAAGATGAATAATAAATTACTATGTATAAGATAGAGTATTGCAAGGTTAAAAAATCAATTTTCAGGCGCTTGGAAGATTATAAAGTAGGCATATAATTGAAAATGAATGAAACCATACTGATGAATAGTTATTAATATATAATTAGAAGTAAGGAAAGTTTGTTTTAAAGATTAAACTATTGATATAGTTTATATTTTTTACGTGTACGTATTTATTGAATGGTAAATTTATTGGGACGAACGTGAAAATTATTTATAGGTAACAAGTTTTGGATAAGACAAAACTTATAAAAACTAAGCAATAATAGACATCGGGGTCTATGTACATTGTAACGTAGGAATGAAAAAATATTAAAATAAACGAATGGTGCGATATTGTCGACGGTCTTATGGTGAAGCTTGACCTTTGATAACTTACCGAGATATGCCTAAAATTGTATTCGGATATTATTTGTGTATTGCATTGGTAACATGCCCTGTTATTCTTGCCATTTTACTAGTTGCCAATCGAAGTGTCTCTTCAATTTTTCAATACATTGTGCGACAAGACATATCAAAAGCAATCACAGTATTTTTAAATCATATACTCGTACACACAAGGAACAGTGCAGTTTGATCATTTTTAAAACTTTATGACGAAATTTTGACACCAAAAATAAAGTAAAATTTTAAATTGTTGAATGAACTTCATTTGTAAGTAAATTGTATCATTTAGGTCACATTAGAAGCCTGTGATATACATTAACTCGCGAGTGAATGCTTGTATGTCTGTCTGTCTATCAGTGTGACTGACATGTTTGACGTTTGAAGCAAATTTGTTGCTAGACGCGAAAATCTTTTCAAAACCAAAAACGACCAGTATTGTCAGATTGTAACCAAAAATGTGTTTTTTTTTATTATGTTATTCTTATGATGTGGGAATGGGTTTATTACCAATGTCGTTGTAAGAAGGTTGTGGCTAACGCGCCCGCCATTTTGTGTTAGGCGAACTTATTGTGTAACAATATTTTTATTGTCTTCTGCCAAAACAAAAGAGTAATCGAATGTGTCATGTAAATAGAACTACCATTATTTATTAATACAATTAATTTAAAAAAAATGCTTTTGTTTTTATTTCTAATTTCAATACCCTTAACGAACTACAACCCTTTACTGTAGATCTACAAAGAGATATTATCCCAAGGGCGATCACATGGTTAGCGTTACCAAAACCCTACCAACAAAAGTGCACATTATTAAATCAAACACGACTGTAGATTCCTTACAACTTAAAAGGCATTTAGAACTTTTTATTTGAGATATTTTACGAAAAACATCAAATGACTTCTCCCACCCAGGGTAAGGCGAGGCCGAAGCTGTGGTAAGTGGTACCTTATTACGCTTGACCCTAGATCCACTGAGAATTATTGAATACCGAAAACCGTACAGCTCAGCTCAACTCAAATCAAACCTTGTTCAATAGTCGCTTTCATACTCGGCCGATGAGATAGTTTAAATTCTCAAAAAAACGTACCTAACTAACTATAGGTACATATACCGCTTTATACCTGCAAGGAGAACACAAAATTAATCTTATTTTAGAAAAACAGGTGCAGCTATCGTCTAGGAAAAAATCACACAAAACACAATAGCTTTATTAAAAACATATCCATGGGTTGAAGTGGTATCTACACAATATACCTATGTTTTTTTCATAAGTATGGGGAACTCTGAAATTATTAAGAGTTTTGTTTAAAAATTTAAGTCATACATATAAATTATACACATGTAGGTACTCACCAAATTTTATAGAATATTTCTATTTATTTATTTAATAATTTACGTAGACTTGAGATGAGAACGGGTTAGGACGAGGACGGACTAAGGAGAAACGGTCATGGCGGTAAGCGGGATAAGTTGGATTGTAGAGGGAATTATAGAGGAGACATAAAATGCGAGTGTTCCTACGAAGATGGATAGGGTGCCACTTTAGCCTATTGCGGAATTCGGAGACATGATCGACCGATTACAAAGCGAATACATAGATTTTCGAATCGCTCAAGTTTATTTAATAGCTCCTCAGTGGCATCCAGATAGCAAGCATCTGCTTTCTAGTTTCAGAAAAAAGTAAAAGACAGACCAACAGACATGATGTATGAATAAAGGTTCCGTTTTTTACAGAACTCTAATAATATAATACCGACAAGTCACGCCATCTATCCACAATAACTTCAACTATTAAGCCGAAGTCATGTAGCATCGCGATCTAACTAAACATTAAAACATTTTAGTTAGTTTTTTTCTTGTTTTATCTGTACCAAAATAAATTATTTAGATTGTTTTTTGAATAGAATAATAAATTTTGATGAAAAGTATTTGTAACCTTTTGAAAAGTTCCGTATCTCCTAAAAGTTCAGCCAAGCGCTTTAGTTTGTCTACATGACGGTAGATGGGGTAAAATAAAAACCTTGATTCGTTTTATAAAATTGTACAATTTTATTATGCTTACGGAAATATAGGCTTATAAAAATATAAGAGTATTAAAAACATATGTTCTTAATCTAAAGTACAAATATCTTGCTTAGCGTTGAATATCCAAACACAAATACGAAATTACAGATTACTATAAATTTCATTGCGTTAATCATACATACTTCATCTTAAATATATAATTTGAGCATTATAATAAGTACATTTTATCGCAATACATCCTTAATGTATGTCGTCTTTTATTAATTGGGTACGTAATACATTTTTCTTTGTATAGGTACTTTGAATTGTTACATGAACTGGTAACTCTTTTTAATGGAACATCTTCTTGTACACCTTATATTTAAGTGAATTAAATAGTTACGTACTTATAATTGTTAAGTTTGCAGTACTGCAAAAGCTGTCGTGAAACGTACTAATTACTTAGTATTCATAAATATGAGTCCGAGAGTGAGAGATTGAAACTAATCGAGGTACTATCTATACTACTATTTTGTATGTAAGGGATCATTGGAACCGCTGGTCGAGTTGCCAAAATTCTTTCACTGATAGATAGCTACAATATTCCTAAGTGCTGAGTATAAGCTATAAATTATACTTGATTTGCGTATTTTAGTCAAGCTATCGCTTTCACTCACTTTTCTGATAAGATTACAACTGATACATGAATACTGTCAAAATGGACAATGGATAATTTTGTAACACATACCTAGTTAATCAAATAACGTAGAGAAATGTTCCATGTCTCATATAAGTTATAAAAATACCAATGAATAGAAATTGTATTATCCATTTTTAAATTACATAATTAGACCTTCAGGTACATGCAGTGTTAATTAATGGCCTATTTGATTAAGGCTCCGTTTTATAAACTACATAATTCTAGTCTTAAATTAGGCTAATACATATGGTTTTGAAAAAAATGTTGCGTTTATATCTACATTGTTACAAATTAATAAAATGTTACATGATGACATGAATGTATAATGTTAAATAGCAACATTTATTATGATTGTTACAAGATGACTCAAATGAATGTTACGAATGAACATTAGTTACATGAGTAATGTAAACAGCTTATGTCCTGCAATAGACGAACACAGGCTGAAAATGATAATGCATTGATGCTACATCATGACATGTAGGTACTAAGTTGACACTTATGAATGTTACAATGTGACATGAATATTACAATATAACAGGAATGTTACAGTATGACATGAATGTTACAATATGACACGAATGTTACAGTATGACAAATGTAACAATTTGACAAGATTGTTACAATATGACATGAATGTTACAATATGACATGAATGTTACAATATGACACGAATGTTACAGTATGACATGAATGTTACAATGAACATGAATGTTACATGAAAGTTACAATATGACATGAATGTTACAATGTGACACGAACATTACAAGATCACGTCAGCTATTTATAAATGGTCATGGTGCATGGCGACAATGATGTTGGCGAGTGCAGTCCTGGCGTCGCAGTCGGGGAAACTGTCCAGTACATGCACGGCGCGCGCTATGTGTTCCCGCTGGAGACGTTTGGTCTGTTCCAGTCCGTCGCCAGCTAGTACCGCTTTATACAGCTGCGGAGAAAGGATACATTAATGAGTTGGGATTTTTTGTTAAGCTTTAGAATTTGTAGTATGATAAAATCTTAGTTAGTTAGGTATGTAAGAAAAATTAGATGTCAGCATTTGACTATGAACATAAACAAAGTTAAAGTCAAAATCATTTATGCCAACTAAACCATAAATAGGTACTTTTGAAATGTCAAAATAGCTCGTTCCAAATTGTAGATTCGAATTGAGAAGAACGAGGGAGAAACACCGTCGGTACTCTTTTTAAAAAACCTTTTACTGGACACCGGTCACCTCTTACTGGGGGAAAAGTAACAGGGTAACGTAAATGCGACGTCAAAATGGAGTCTAACAAAGGGAGTAATCAAACGAATGCATTCCTCCTTCTCTTCTTTATATTAAGAAGCACTTACAGCATGGTAATCAACATCTTGCACGCTCTTCTTGCCAGCCTCAATGTACTCGTAGAGTTCGGGTCGAGCTTCTAACGTGAAGGCTAGGGGCGCCCCCACCAGGGAGAAGCTCGCCGGTTCAGGACCTGTAAATGCTTCCAGGTCGAGGAACGCCTGCCAGGCTAACGCAAGGTGGCAGCCGAAGAGGTAGCCCTGGAGATAGAAGTGTTAAAATGTTATTTATAAATAAAATTAATACCTACATAAAAATGATGTGGTTGCGCTTGGAATTAGCATGCTCTGGTGTTGCATGTGACCATAGGCGGAGCCAATATGGCAACAAAAACGTTATTTTATTTTATGAGATCGCAGCATACGACCTCATAATGATTTTACATTAAATAGCATACTTACATTTGCAAAAACAAGCAGCTAAATCGTTAAACCAATAAATGAAAATATTATTATAAGTATACGTATAGGTATTTAATAATCCAGTGTATTATAAAGTCTAAATAAATTATTTTTAGCCTAAGATTGACCATCAGTTAATTTGTAGGGCCGTTTTCCAACCAAAACAATAAAAAAATATGTATGCTGTATGACGTAAAATTATTATGAGGTCATGTTGCGAACACTTACAAAATTCATAAAAAAGTATCGCTTTTGACATTTTAATAGAAGTATTTTCAATTTGACTAATTGGACGCTACCGAATCGTACCGATTCAATAGGTTTTTTAGGGATTTTTTAGCTTAAACCAATTTGCTTGCGATCTCACCTGGGTCTGTAACTGAGGTTTGTGTCCAGCCAGTTTAAGTGCTGCTGAACAGCTTTTGCCCAGCAATGCTCCAGCAGCCAACACGTGGCGGGCGGACCACTCGCGACCAGCGCAACCGATGACACCACCCATAGGTAGAGGATCGGTAATAATGTCCCATTCTGTAATGATGATCACTAAATATTGTGACAATTGTCAACATCACTACATAGTATAAAACAAAAGTCACTTTCTTTGTCCATATGTCCCTATTGATGCTTTATTAGTTCAAACTCCGCAATGGATTTTGATGCTGTTTTTAAGTAGAGTGATTGAAGAGGATGGTTTTTATGTATAACAACATCCATTAAACAAGATTTAGTATCAGTGTTGCACTCGTGTGAAGTCGGGGATACCGTATACTTAAATATGTCACTACTTGAACATAAATATTTTTTTAGTTTGGTGTTGGTGAGTATGAAATCTTTGGTGGATACAAAGACTAGTTTACGTTATTCTGTTCCATAATATATGGAGTGGAAGTTCTTTGTTCTTTTCCCACCTTTTCCGACCCCAAAAAGATAAGCAATGATATTCAAGTACTCATTGCACTAGCTATTTAATAAAAATCACGAACTCTTGAATTGTGTGGAAACCTTATCTGGCATCAAAAGGTAATCGGAAACTGAATGTATTCGAGGTAGAGAAAACATTGATTGGAACCGATACCTTTGAGACAGGTTTATGCTAATGTTTTGTATACAATATCAATGACAAGCGTTTCTGGAAATTATATAATTTTACCTTATAAACTTACATGTTTTGAAATCAAACAAATGGCAATATTATAAAATCGCTTTTAGTTTTTAAGTATTAGCAACCGTTTGCTTACTTGTAATCTATGTACGCAAACAGAAGCCTACAAAGCATAGTTTCAAACGTTATCTAAATCGAATCCTTCAATATTGCTGTTTCATATCCAAGTATCTTTTTATTATTCTTAGATACTTCTTCAACCCACAAACTGACGTCAACACGGAACAAACCGAACAAAACCGAAAGCGCTAGACAAATATTAATTCGTCAAAGAAGCACATGTGTCCCCATTGTCCGCCGGAGTCACGTTTGAATGGAGGGCACAGCATAGTTCCTTGCGGCACTCCGCGCTTTGAATACTAATGCACGCCTCATGTACTACTATAATGTAGCACTTGCAGATTGGAATGCGCTGATTTCCAATGTATTGTGAACCTGATTTGTTTTTGAACCTCGGTCATTGGACTAGCTATTGTTTGAAAAGTTTATAGAGTGATCTAATGTATCGAACGCTGATGATAAATTTAAGAAAAAGTTGTATAAAACCAATGTTTTTTGAAATTTGTTGTTATTATTTATTGAACTATTTTAACCATAATTATTGATGCTTAAGAAATATTTGAATCTGCTTAATGAATATGTTTGTAACCGCACCCACGACACAGGAGAAAATCCGAGTGTAGGACAAAAAAAGAATCTTTCAATGATCTAGTAGCTATATCTGAAAATCATCACAATTAACCAATCATTTCCTCTATGAAATTGTACTAACGATAGATTTATTTCGTATAACTTAGTACAAGTATTATAAGAGTTTGGGTTTATCGATTTAAAGTCAAATCAATGATTTAATAATACCTCATTATAATAATTTAACACGAAGTCTCTGTCTACAATGTGATCATCCGTGTAGTTAGTATGCATGCAAATAACGCCTAAATTTGTTCTCGCTTAAGTAAATTTGAAGTGGAGGTAATTACTTAGTTAACCCACATTCCTAGAACCAGTTTTAGTACAAATATTTAAGATGGATAAGTTATAGTGATTTTTGTTAAGAACTTGAAAATTACGTTCCTTGTATGCCCGTTTAGATTTCTCTTTACTTTTCAACCATGTATTTATTCACAAGCAGTAATGATATGTGAAAATTTCTCGGTGCTTTCTAAGTGCATGACCTGCCTCCACTCCCCTTAACTCCAAAAACATTTGGGGCTCTCGTCCATTACTTGTGCCAAATCAATACGAATTTAATAAAATAAGTTACCTGAAGCTTCTTCTATCTGGTCTTTTGGAAGTGGTCTGGATGGCAACGGATTGTTTTGCTCGTCCCTTTCACCGAGGAACTCCGCTTCAGCCAGATCTCGCACTGCTGATGACATCAATTCTACCAGCTCTTGATTCCTGTAAAATTAAAGCTTAAACTTAGACGATTTATGCTACTGCCGAATGTATGTATAATATACGAAGCTATGTAGCAGCAGACAGCATTTGTCGTAGTGCAATATACTCATGGTTATGAGCCAAGGTCACCACATGAAACTAATCGAACGCTCTCGAAAAATTTCGTTATACATTAGCCCCTAAATTTTGCGGTGTTGACGAGTCAATTAGGCATCAAAACATGTTTTATATAATAGACACCTTTTTAATTTTCATAAATAATGTATACCTGCTATGGAAGTATCTAACTACCTACTTAGTTCAAGTCAATATTTTGTCCGTAGATATTGAATACACAAAATTGTACTTTAAGGGGCATAGTGGCGTGACTCAAGAAATATTGCAATTTCAAATTACAGTAAGTATTTGAAAATTACATTTATTAAAATTCGAAAATTAGATTAATCTATAAAACACAACCTAATCCCCAATAGGTAACGCGGTAAGACAATTGCAAGTACACAGAAAATGTTTCGTAGCTGTTGTCGTCGGCAAAAAAATCTATGATTTTTCAATTGGGTCTCCGGTAACCTCACTCACTCGGCGAAACTACCGCTGTTGTTGTTTCACGCCGGTATTCTGTGAGGCCGGACTCCGGTCGAGCCGACCCATTCGTGCCCAAGCTTGGATCTCCCAGACTTCATCTTCATCATTCATCTTTGTAATAATCATATTTTAATATGCAAAATTATCGCTATTAAGTCGCCATATTGCGTGTAACTAACAATGGGTCTTTTTAAATGGTCGCTCGCCATCTTATGTCAAAATCGTTGCGCAGCTAGGTCAATAGGTTACCGACCATCGTCGTAACTTATGAGATGACCATACATTTTGCAGTGTTACCATCCCATTAATTCTATTATGTAGGTAGACAGATTATTTAGAAATATTGTGCTGCATATTAATTGATTTTTATGTTTATTAATTTATTTATTTTTTATCTTCTCGTTATGTATAAGATTTAGTGAAGAATTTGAGACAGCACACACAAAGACTTATAATTTTTTTTTTTACTTATGCCATTGTTAATATTTCTTCAGGTTTTGTATTATTTTAAACATATATGTATAAACTTTTATATTAATAATCAGGTGCTCGAAGCCCGAGATGAATGTGTAAATCATACAGACACATTTGTAAAGAAGAAAATAAATACGTACTTAACTGTTAAGTACAAAACATTACTATAAATTACCATTGCATATAATAAAATATAAAATATGCTAAATAGCTTTAAATGAATGTTAAATGGCATTAATATCATTCTTGCATTTGTATTCACTTTATTTAAATTTCCTAATAGTTTCTTTCAAAAATAATAGTAATAAAATAGTGATTCTGATTGATAGTCCTATCCTACATGATTTTACACTTTTGCTACGAATCTAAGGAATGTTTCAGAGCCTGAGCAAAATTTTTTTAGCGCATGATAAATTAGATCTACTTTACATTGTAATAATACCTGCCTAGGTTACAAAAATAGCTAGAATTGTTCCGCAAGTGAACTTGAACATGAAAATCAAGAACTAAACTGCCTAGAATAGTATATATAAAAAAAAAACTTTGCATTTGAAAAACCCTTCTAGAAAGTAGTCAATAACCAAAAATTTGCGAGTCCCTATCTCATTTAATGCACATAACACATGAGTACTAATAACAACAACACGTTAACTTTCACTGTTACAAGCAGAAGTATATACTTAACGCGTCGTCTTGCGTAATGGGTAACGCGGAATATTACGTTACGTCTCGGACCGGATTGAACATCGCCGGTACACTACTGGAACATCCTCTGATAGAAAGCAAGGTTCATTCAAGTTAATAAAAATAAGGTTTCCGAAGGAACAAGGGATGAAAAGGTGCTTCAGTAACTAGTTTAGAAATAAATATTTGTTGTATAATCCTACTAAGTAAGTGATATTAAGTATAAATGTGAAAGTTTGTAAGAATATTTATCATTCTTACACGCAAAAACGGATAGACCAATTTGGTTGAAATTTGGCCAGTAGATACCCTGAATTAACACACGGGGATCTTTTTATCCATGACGCGGGCGAAGTCACCTGCGGAAACTATCATCCCTTTATGTCATGTAGCAAATACTTTTTGCATACTCAAACTAGGACTTCCCGCGGCTTCTTGAGTTTGTCGTACATTGCCGCAGCAAACCACGTCATCGATCACGTAGACACGAACATATGAACATTGTGAGCAATATATAACAGATTGCAAGACAGCGCAACGCGCTGCGTCTGAGTAAACAAATCCTTTTGCTATTATTGAGACCAGAGCTAGATAGAAGAGTGGTTGTCTATTACAATATCGGAATTTTTGACCGAATTCTGTCTAACTTCTACAAATCGCAAAAGCTATAAGAAACACACCTACTTAGACTACTTACACAATAAAATGAAATAAATCAAGTTGTTTTCCATGACTTTCCCAGCATAAGATGGAAAACTTACCTAATATCATTTGAATAACAAAACCCGTCTTTACCACCACAGCTTAAAGACCATTTCTCTACCACATTGCACCTTTACAACAAATTGTATTCATGAAACAATGAAGCATAAATCCTTAGAAATGCAGAGTGAAGTATGGAGGAAAGCTTACTTAGCTTTCTCTAAACTGCCATCCCTATGTTGTTCTTGACGAAAGTTCGGACAATCTAGTTCAATACGGTACCTACTTTCTTCCAAAAACCAATTCCTACAATTGTGCAGGTTTCTTTGAAAACTGATTTATCAATAGAATATGTCTAAACTAACCCTTAAGCTATGATCTCAGAGTCGAAATGCAAAACGAATCCCAAAATGTGTTAATTATGTTATGGATACGCGGACTTCGCGAAGCCTACGTGATTCCGTGTCGTCTTTAGTTTTCATATATATGAGCCCGAAACGGAGCTTGAAACTTGTCAAGGGATCTTGTAAACATACGGTGAGTGATAGCCTTTAAGCAAAAAACATGGCGAAACTAATAAATACTTAGTATGTATGATACGGCTGTTATCAGGTAAGTATCTAAATGAAACGGTTTATTTATATAATAAACTAAAAATAAAATTGCGAACATGTAATGACGTACTCGAACGAGTTGAATTCCTGTTCGGAGCGCTCGTCGAAGCCCCTCTTTCCTCTCAATTATCATACATTTTCTACACGACTACCTTCCCTCCGTGTGTATCGTAATATGTACATATATACTTTGTCCTACCTCTCAGTTTAACAATAATAATATGTGATATTATACTTTGTTTCTCAAGTAAGATCAAACCTACCTAGAACAATTAAATTCTTCTAGTGTCTTTGTTACAAAGAGCGACTATAAAACCCTTTTTACTTTAATATATACTGGCTATAAAAAACTTACAAGCTGATAGAATCTACTACAACAATACATATGAGAAATCCAACTTCCAAACTATTATTATAAATGCGAAAGTAACTAGCTAAGTAGTTTAGAAAAGACTGACACTGTCTGTCAGTCTGTTCTTCACGCCTAAACTACTGAACCTATTTGTGTGAAATTTGGTACAGACATAGTTTGGAACTCGAGAAAGGACATAGGATAGTATTTAAAACAAAAAACTGCAGGAATTTACTCTTCCACGCGAATAAGGTCGCGGGCAAAAGCTAGTTAGGTAAAATATATATTTTCTATGAACCCGAAATCATTACATCGTTCCATATAGTCAAAGACCTAGAACACGATCTACTCAATAAATACTTTGGAATACATAAAAGACGAACTTAAAACTGTTAAAAATGGCTTAACATACAATTTCAAGTGCAAATATCTTACCTCAAATTAGCCAGTTCAGAACAGGAGTTGGCGAGCAGATAGTCTCCACTCAGCAAAGCGATCTTGTTGCCAAACATCATGTCATCGGGTTCTGCTGCTATTGGCTGACGGGAATTCATGTTGACCAGTCCCTTGTGCACCAGGTGAGAAGTCCGGATCATTTCCGTCACTTCTGCTAGAGCTCGTTGACTGTTAAAGAAAATAGTTTGATCTAATATGAATCGTATTTACATAAACGTTACATCCTTTTTTTGAATAAATTAAATGGCTTCTCTCGAGTTGGGTGGGGCAAGAAAGAGCGTCAGTTTCTTACTGACTAAACACCATCCGTTCTTTGTCTTACGCTAGGCCGGAACCGGCGAAGTAAATTATTGAGTTTGCACCCGCAACCCCGGCTGAACATTGGCTCTGTGAGCCCCTACAAAAGTTGCGTCCTCAATATGATGGTTTTAAATCCATTAGAAGGGGTAGGCATGATAAACATCAATTTTTATCAGGTTTCTAGACATTTTTTTTCTACGGAATACGAACTCTCGGTCTATTTTTAAAATTTGAACAATAATCAAATAATGAGTAACGCAGGAACCAGTCGAGGTTGCCTAACCTTTTAATAAAATATGTTATTGTTAAGACCACAAACTATAAAAAATATAATTGCTTAATAGAAAAAGAATCCAACACAAGAACAGCCTACAAATACTCACACTCTCACTTAGACCCTTCTAATTGAAAAATTACAATTTGTTTTTCTACATATGTGACTGTCCAGTTATATAGAAAGTTAAGGTAACGGCTTTCCTATGGGCATGTGCATGGATAAACAAACGTATCGAATGCGTTATAGCTTAGCAGTAAGGTGTTGAGCTGCGACCTTTCAATGACATCAACATTACTATCACGTAGAAAGTCAAGTCATCAGTCTTTATTTCTCTTGAGTATTTACATTTACACAAATGGTCTGTGAGTGAAAGAAAATTTTCGATTTTATGATGTTTTATATGTAGGTATGTACATATGTATGCATGATGTATATCTGGAACAAGATTTGTGTTTTTTGATAAGATAGGGTTGCTAACGGTTAGTCGGATCACCAGATGACACGTAATCGACGTTGACCATGAAGCTCTCCATGGACAAGCCTAAAAGGTTTGCTAGTGCAATTGCATTGCTGGTCATATGAGTGTTGGCGGATTTCAGGAATATGGATAAAAGGATTGGGCCTTCTGTAACTCATCCACAAGGTGAATCACTAATATATTCTAAGAGCGACTGAATTCGTCTTTCAGAAAAAAAAATAAGTTACCATAATCAATACCTAAACCACGTTAAACGCTAGGGGTGACAGGCTGACAGGTGACCTCTGTTAGCGGAGGATTTGCCTTCAACAGTTTTCAGTCGACAGTGAATAAAAATAAAAAGAATTCACAAGATTTATCGTCATAAATAGTAGATATAAATTTCAATTAGGTATACATATGTATGTGTATGTGTACATATATATATCATTGAGCAACATAATTAATTGTCTGCAGTATCAACAGGAAGCCTTATTTATGGATATCTGTGATGAATGCGGAAATTTTCACTTTCAGACCAGACCTTGGGCCGGACATTGTCCTTTTGACAATTTGCTAGTGCAACGGCTTACAAATTATATTTTATAAAATATACTGGTTAATAAAACTTAAGGTCGTAAGCTTAAAAGACATGATCTTTTTTTATAAATTACTTAAGTATAAAGGTCTGTTTTCGCTCATGACATTTTTGTTTTTGGTTTGATCTGTCCATGCCTATAAGTACTCCGTATTTAAGCCTTTGACTGCCGACAGAAAACTGTTGATGCCAAATCCTCCGCTAAAGGACATCACCGGTGACCTCCATGGCGTTTAACGTGTTAAAAAAAGTACTATAATATTTAAATCAATGATGATTCCCGGGTCAAACAGTGTTTTGCGTTTCTTTTTAGAATTTCTTAGTCATATTAATAGCATACTATATAATTATGGTTTTTATCGTATAGTTCGCCCCTCAAAATATTTTTTATGTGATATTGCGGCAAACGAGTAAGTATTTAGCGCCGCCCATAGACACCCGCAACAAAAGAGGACGTCGACGTACGAGTAACGAGTGCGTCGACGACCTTTTGGGGATTTTAGGATTGGGAGAGGGGAAGGATTGGACCTCCGGTAACCTCACTCATACGGCGAAACACAACGTTGTGGTAGTTTCACGCCGATTTTCCGTGAAGCCGTGGTATTACCTACTCCGGTCGAGCCAACGCATTCGTGCCGAAGCATGGGTCTCCCACATTTGAAATAATAAAATACAACAATACAGCATAACAAGCAAAAATTCTGTATTGGGCACAGAAATCGCTCTTGTAACCTAATGATGTAGGTGACGCATTCAATTTTAAACTCATTTCCAACAGGTTTAAGATTGAAAGTAGGTGGAGCTCTTTAAGTATTACGACAGTGATGAAACATTATGAACCTCGTAACACAGAAATATACTTTATATGAAGTAAAATTAAGTCACTTTTGAGTTATGTAAAAAGTGATTATATCAATCTGTATGTTATGTTTTACTTCGAATAAATTAACATATTTGAGTAAACTGAAAACGCCTATATGCTAATAAATACCAATAGTATCGAATGATGAGACCCAGTGACAAGAAAGCAGGTCAACAAATTATGTCAGAAGGATTGAGTTGGACACCAGTTTCTTTTAAGTCCACTATTTTACAATAGAGGATTCAGTCATTGGTTTTGTTAAATTATTAATTAAGGGTGGTTTTAAATACTCAGAAATAGCAAAATTCTGAAACTTGGTTTTTTAAAGTAATGTGGATGTGTTTTTCCACTAACCCTTCTGGCGGTAAATAAGTAGGTAGCAACCTACCTAATTATTTCGAGCCTTCAAGACCCCAGTTATACTCTTCTGAAACCATTTATTTTATTTTGCCATGCCATTTCAATCAAATCATATATTCAATCCGATTTCTACAAATGACCTTCAATCAGGAATGCAGTGACATTGCTACTACAGAATACCAATTAATTCGATATTGCCGACAGTAGCAAAATAACAGTGCGTTGGTACCTAGTTCTACCTAAAAATAAAGCACGCCATGTCTATAGAAAGATTATTTTATTACCTATAAAGAAATGACTTCTTTCGAGGTGGAAAACTGTTATGGGACGAATGGGAGCACAACACTCTTACTGGTCAAAACCCGCTGCCCATAAGTGAAGATTCATTCTACTTTTTTAATTATTAATTGTAACTGGCAACTTACGGGCCAATAATGTTCTATGGCCCTGGCTCGGAGTAGGATTAAGAACGGGGTGATTTTTAGTCAGTAAGAGTCTGACACACTCCAGTGCGAGAGAAGTGATTTGATGATTTAACCTCTCAATAAAATATTTGTTCAAGTGCTGTGTAAAGATCTTGCATTTCAAATACAGGCCTCAATCTCACCTGTGCAAAACACCAGCGGCTTTGTCCTGTTCCATGTCTGGTATCTCAGGGCTGTGGCCAGCAGCCTTCGACACCAGCAGCACGATGAGGCCCCACGCTTGCATGTTGTTCTTTCCATTGTAGATCAGATTCCTAAAACAGAAAAAGATATATTTTATATCCTGTATGTGCTTTTCCTACAAAAAAATAAAGTTTTCTCTTTTTAGTTGTAACAAGTAAATTTGGGCGTCATTGATGGGGACCTATGCTGAGCTGTTATGATGATGTTACTCCTCGAGGACCGAATTTTGTGATAAGAGGAAGCTTATAATAGTTGTGATGTTAGCATACAGCTTAAGCTTTGGTGTACAAACTACAATTAAAATGGATCATTGGTTCAAAAAGTTTACATTAATAATTTTCATATTTGGGGCTCACGTGTTGTAAGCTAGTAATGTGCTTAATAGACTTTACAATTCAGTCGTCTAACACCCAGTTTCTGAAAGGCTTGTCAATTCATTGATCAACTAACACTGTGATTAATTTGACATGCATGTCAAATCAATTTGAGTTTCTGAAACGTTGATCAGAGCATGATTAACTAATCTATGATTATTTTGATTTGACATGCGATTTATTTTTAATTATAGCCACACTGCTCTTTTTTGTTCAATAGTTCATTCTTATCTGTCAAATAAGTTAATATTAAAAAAAATACGGACTGTCATTGATGTCAAACAATTCTGCGAAATTCAAATATTAAAGTTACAATTTAAATAAAATGCTAACTAAACTTGCTTAAAATGGCATAACGAGGGAAGAATTTCATCGAAAGGGAAGGGCATGTTCTTGTAGAACTAGTTCAGAAGTAAGTATAAGTATAAACATATATTTTTTACCTATTGCGTTTTATAAACCTATTCGTGTTTAAAAGTATAAAATATCTTTGTTTATACTTCACATCCTGCGCTGCAGCCAAGACTGATGTATAATACGCACCATGTTTTATTACAGATACAAGCACATAATTGATAATCAGTGCACAAATGCTATTTCTACTATTCATAAAAATGAAGCTTGGGAAACCACAACGAATGAATTCTACAGTAATGCAGAAGTGCCTCGAAGCCAAAAACAGCTAATCATAGCCTATTGGAATTAAAAAGAACTACGAGACAGAATGTAGCCAATAAAAATGTAAGTTTTTGATCTTAAAATACTTTTATAGTGCCCATACTAGCTAGTCAGAATATTGTAACTATTACCAGATTAGGATATATTAAATACCTGTCCTGATTTCTTAAGTAAGTACCTAATCATGAATTAAGAATAATTATTGCAACTTTAATGAAATTTATTTACAGGTAATTTAACTTGCACATCAAGGAAACAATTTAAACATGAGAGGCAGATACTCAGAAACAGAATAATAAGAAGTATAATGAAATAAAGAGTATGTAAATAAAAAAAAAGTTAGAATATCGGTTAACTATAAAACAGCATATATTTCAAAATAATATAAATCATTTGGTTAAGAAATATACATTATTAGCATTTAATTTAAATATAAGTTACTATACTAACTAAATATGTACTTGTTTTTATATTTCAAGTGTTATATTTTATAAAGATTAATTAAACATGTTAATAATATTGTTATTTCTTTGTATTCACCTAACAATACATACCATTAATATTACTTAACAATTAAAATGAGTCAACAATAAAGATGTGCGCACAGAAGTGTTTTTTTATTTATCTCTGACAGAGCACCAATATCTTCTTGAACTATCCTAAGATATACTTGAGAAATATCCTTTCTTGTTCCTGTACAGCTCAGCTTGTGGCTCACTAGTAGACTGTATCTTTACATGTGTGCAGTCAAATGCACCGATCACATTTGGAAAAGAGCTAATTTTGTAGGATTCTGTTTTTATCCTTGTACAATCTCCGAAAGAAACATTATCGTAATCTAAAAACCAGAATCAATGTAAGTTAATCAAGATATCAAATAATTTACACTTACAAAGAAAATTGTATTATTACAAATAAAATTTCGTAATACATATTTAGGTTTAACATACCTTAAAAAAATATACTTATTTGAAGAGAAAATGTAAACTCACGTGAAAAATCAGTTGTATTCGTAAGTTAATTCGCCAACAAGCACCGATTAGTTGACCGAGCTTTTGACAGACGAATAATCTATGATCAAGGCTTGACCAGCGTTTCAGAAACCCAAAATTGCGATAATCATTCGATTCTTGAGTTGATTTGACAGCCATGTCAACTGACATGATGGTCAAATTAGTTGATTAATCATGCTTTATGCAACCCAATTGACACTTGACAAGAGATTTAACAGGAGATTAGTTAATTTTAGCGTTGACAAGCCTTTCAGAAACCGGGCGTTAATGATTCAGTTACTATATATGCGATTGCATTTGTCAGACAAATGCAATCGCATTTTAAGGATGGTTAGTTTCTAAATTTAGGAAAAATTACGGAAAAATCACTATAGGTATCATTTAGAAACCTAATTAGAATCGAATTTAGGAAGGTGCGGTCGTGTTACTTGCTTCTGTCGGGGTGCAGCATAATGCCTGTGTTAGGGACTCTTCCGTAGCTAAGCAATACAGAATCTGTATCAGTAATACTAGCTATTCATAGCGTCAGCGATTTAATGAGTGATGACACAGTATAAATGGTGATGATGAGTAAGAATCCCAATAGATGTAAGAAATGCAAGTCTCGTTCACCGATCGGTAGCAACCTCCGCACGCGATATTACTTAATGCTTAGGGAACGTGCATGAACATTATGTTATGCTAGCTTATTAAAGGTTTTTTCCTACTTAGGTTTCCTTTTGGTACCTATGTGAGAAATTAAAACAATATCCTTATATTTTAATCTGTCATCCCCGTCTACATCTCTATCTTTGTGCGAATGAGCAAAATAATGTTTTTGTTCATAGTCCATTACTATTTAAAAAAAACTCATTTTAAATAGAAATATAAAAAGTGCTAATACTTCTCCTTTTGAGTGGCATAGTTAGTTTTTAAAAAGTCCCGCATTTATCATCAAACTGCTTCAAACTAATATACGTACGTATGTATATATGTACAACATTATTTGGTAAGTACCTAATGCAATACTCTCTTCATAAAAAACATGTTGCAAAGTAATGAAAATGAACGTTATCATTTGAATCGTACTTAAAATTGTTTTGTGTCGTAACCAAACATTCTGTGGTGTGGTCTCTGAATACAAAATAATTGCAATATACCTGCTTAATTAGGTGTTTAATTGAAGACAAATACCTACATATATTAAAACTCTTTTTTCTGGTTTATGAAAAAAAACGGTTACACAAAGGCATGAAGCAACGTTTCGTCGTGTAAAGTTACTAGAATCCCACAAAACTTTATTCCTAATCCCCAATTCTCAAATCTTTAATGCATAAATCCTTTTCCTGCAAAAAACAAAATAGCAAAACTGAACTGGCTCATGATAGTACAATAAGTATAAATTGTTTATGCATGCTAATGATGCATACGTTTATTTCTTGCTTAAAAACCCGCGTCAAGGAAGCACATGTAATCTTTTTGGACAGGTTGCAGGAATAATCTAATAAGTAATATGCATATTCATTGAATTATTTTGCACCTCAGTAAACGATCGATTAACGTAATGAATCTTCAGACAAGCTCATAGCTTGTTTCGTGTCCATATTTATTTATTTCTTCTTTACACAAAACAGTCTGAGCTACGGACTTAATGCCTTAAGGCAACAGGCCTTCTCTAACAGTCAACCAAAGGGCAGAGAAATCATGCGGCTGGTCCGAAGCAAAGACCATATACTTATTTAAACCATTCTCTATTTTGGAAACCGTTCCGTGCCTGAATTGAATAAGTAAAATGAAGCACAGTAAGTAGCTGGCCACCTGGATATAAATGTAAAGAGAGCATAAGCGAAAATTTTTAATATTATAATACTTTCGACAGTTTCGACTGTCATTTGTTTTTATGTCGACTGTCATTTGTTTTTATGCAATAGGTACACACATATGTAGGTACATTATATTTTTCTATGAGTTCTTTGATGAAGGTAATAACAAACGAAATAATCAATTTGCATACAGTGAAATGTTATTTGAAGACATTATCGTTCTAAAATGTCGTTATAAAAACTATTAGACCATCGCGTACAAATCTTCACCACTTAAAAAGATTGTTTGTAGAAATTGTTTTTAACTTTCAAAATGATAGGAAAGGAGGTTCTTAAGAAGAATGAAAGTTAAAGTAAACAATTTAAAAATCATAAGCATTTTTATTCAATTATGACCGTTTTACATATCGATACGAAGACAGTACCCCACCTCCACTCCACCTCTGTATAATTAAAGTTTCTTTTACAAAGACGCGCTCGTCCGATATAGGACTAGGAAGTACGGAATTGTTACTCCACAGAAACCACCTTGCAGATAATCATGAGCACCTATAAAGGACCTGATTCTCACAATACCTGCCCTGGAATCCGTCATGTGAAACATCTGTTCTGTACGATCATGTAAAGCGACATGGCCTACCCTATCCAAATAGGTACTTGTTCTTTGTGCCATACATAAGTATTTTACACAACCACTTACCTAATATACCTACGTAGTATTATACATAAATTTATTATTAAATCAGCCTAGATGTAGTAAACTTCGTAAATATTATGAGTCGTAAGCGATTGACTTTCAATTTTTCGGGTCGAGGTTTCGATTTCCACACGGAATCAATATTTGTGTAGAGCGGACGTGCCATTAGCCATACCTATTTAGCCATATTAAGAGATTTTTAACAAAACCCAGGACGTAATTATATGGACGGAAAATATTAATAAATAAGAAGGTATTTTAGTTTGTTGCTACCCCCTATATGTATGTAGCTACTTACCCACATTTTTAATGATGACATTAATTTTAATATTTAATATAATAATTAGGTACGTTAACAACATACTTAGCCGTTTTTAACAAAGGGTGGTTGCTCCCAACCAGTTTTCGTAGGTGCAGCGCTACATTCGCAATTTCGTCGCTCAAAACCCATCGGAGACTCAGGAAGGAGGTTGGATATCCGACAATCTTCTCCGCCTCACTAACTGCTCTGTTCCAATCTGGCTTTGAACTATGTTGTGCAACGCTTGCTCGTTGCGCGCTGCATGTGCTCACTTCCCTCGCAGCACAAGGTCCCAAAAGTTTCGAAACCAACGCACTAGATGACTGAACTTTCACTAAATCACACCTCACAACACGACAAAATCGGCTAAGACTCATTTTTCCAGATAAATGTAAAACACAATAAAACCAACGAGTACGCAATTCAAATTTCGAAATCCTTAAATTTATTGTTGAATGAGCACAACAATTTATTATTTTAAATATGTTTCAAATTATGACTAGTATAATATTGAAAACCAATCAATTTTGTATAATTTTGCTGCTTATAAATTTTAAATATCAAAATAAATTAATTGCACAAATCCGATTTTATTTCGTAATTAATTTAAACTACGAAATACAAACGTGTACAACTTTCGCGCGTTATCGGTTGACTGACCGAATGGTGAATGATGTCTACGAACTAACGTCGGATTCGCGGATTACGGGGATTGATGAATGACATTTTAAACTGTGCAGCATGGAATGATTCGCAAAAAGTACCCCTCCCCGTAGTTCAAAAAACAGTTATTGTTGTTGGATTTTGTGATCATGGTTTTTATATCTATCTATCAGTCCAACTGAAATTCAGATTTTTCCAAATGCAATTATCGCATGATATTAATATTTTATAAATGATATAATCATAGAATAATTTTATTCTATGATTACATCATTAAACATTTTTAAATGTTCAGATAGGATTTCGGGAGTCTAAGTACACGCCGTTATAATATAGGTAAACCAAGATTTACAAAAAATAACTTACCAACAAAATATTTTAGTGAGGAAGAAACTATTCAATTGTTACTCATAGATAAAAAACTATTGTGTAAGTATTTAATCGTTTTGAGGAAGATCATTATAATATTGGCGATGCAAAGATTATCCGCACGCCTCTAGCGGCGAAATTTAGAAACTGTCTAAGAATGATACTTTATTTGTTTATTTGTTGAAGTTATGTTAGATTATTCAGATAAATCACAATTATATACGAAATATTGTTGCGTTCCTTAATGTAGTACTTACGAATATACGATAAGTTTTTATTTATTCCCAAATAATCCCAAAAGACAAAATTATGAAGAAAAATAAAAGATTGCTTTAAGAAAAGGCCAGCCAATTTCACCATCAATGAGAGTTTGTTCTCATCATTTTCAAGGATTAAACTTTTTTCCAAACAGAAAGTATAATTATGTTTTAATTATTTTATTTTACATCAATTATATTTATATGTATTTCATAAGTTATTCATTTAGTTTACACTAAGGCGAGTTTCTCGTCAGATAACGAGTTTATGGTTATTGTCTAGATTCTAAAAGGCACAGAAGTCTCAGAATATTCATCAAATAAGCTCCGATAATTACCATTAGAAAAGAGCACTCAAATAAAATTTCTTCATGTGTGAGAAGAGGATAGATCAGCAGATCAGCTTTAAACAATTAACCCTCTCAGACTTACTCAGTGGTGATATTATGTATTTATTCACTTTTACGGGTATTCATTCAATATAACTTTTAGAAACATCGACTATTGACAGCATAATTATTGTCTTAGGGCTGATTTTTCAATGGCTAGATTAAAGTTACCCGTGAAATATGTATGTTTGTTTAATTTTATTCCTCAGATAACATTTATCAGCCTATTGAAAAATCAGCTCTTAAACAGCAAAAGTCACTTAAATCTGATTTTTATTTATATTTTATTTTTTCCCTAACGTTAATAAGGGATTAAGATCTAGTTTAATATTGAAAATACGAGTAAAGCTAATTAATTATTTTGCTTGGTAGCTCCTGGACATATAGCCATAACTTACATTTTCGATATTCATTGCTATTATTTTTTAGCCAGGCGTACGTGTAGTCGTATGTTAAATGAAGTAAAGAGTGTTTAAAGATCAATAAAATTGTCATGAACTTGTATAACAACTCTCAATATCTATTTTAAAAGGTCTAACAAACATGATTTATATGAAATAGTTCACATAAGAATCGCATTTAGCATTAGCTACTAAAGGTACATTTCTAAGATGAGATGTTGGTGAAGTAATAAATTAATAATAATTATTTACAACTGCAATCTCAAACTCTAATTATGATTTTTAAATTGTTTATCATGATTAAATCAAAAGCCCGGAAATTTATCGTTGATCGCAATTATTAAAACATTTTAGTGTTGCCTATGAATTCATACTCAATAAAAAAAAACATTCCATTCAAAAATAATAGCATAAATTCCAGAAACAAACATCTCCTTTCCTATTTGATAGCTCTTATAAATAAAAAAACTGAGGCCAGTCTCTTTAAAGTCCAGATAAATAAATAACGAGATCTAAAATAAAAAAAGATCCACTGAACCATGCAAGTTGATTCTCTAGTTCTCTTTTTCACAAAAGCGTAATTTCATGGAACACAAATATTGTAGATAGGTCGTTTATAATAATAATAATAATCATCATCATCAGGCGGAAGACGTCCACAGCTGGACCAAGGCCTCCCTCCCGTATAATAATGCTGAAGCTCAAAAGGTGTAGAAATACACAAACATTATAAATTCTACTTACCTAAAATGGATAAAAGAGAGAATTTATAATTAGATGCAGTTGAAAAGTTTACGTAATACATAATTGAAAATGTTTTGATCAACAATTTAGTCTATATTTGTGTTCCTCATATTATCATATTCTATATTTAAATAAAATCTACAAATTGTCATTATGTTATAGCAACACTGCTCGCTTCTTTGACCAATCAAGACGTTTTATAGTTGAACTATATTCGGTCATTCGATCACTAGCCAATCCCGAGATCTGTCCTAGAAATAGTTCACGTTCAAATCAATCACTTCGCACAGCTACTCACTCACTGATTCGTTCATTCAGTCGCTCGCGTTCCGCCGGTTGTCGTAGTCGTCTGTAGAGCAGTCACTACGGGTTCACCGGTATTTTCAGTGCTGTAATTGATCTAATTCACAATCCAGCACAATTGTTGTTATTTGATAACATTTGTGTGTGAAAGTGAGAGCTTTAAGTTGTGTAGTAGGCGGGACAGTTCATTAAATTTACCGAACGTACTTTGAGGTAAGGGAATTTTTTATTTCATTCTTTAGATTTTTTCACGGACTTTGTCTGGCACTGCTTTCGCGACCACTTGGTCTTCCACGTGTAATGCATACGTGTTATAAAATCTGTGCAAGCGGTTTAAAGTCACATCTTAATCAGCAAATAATTTATCTCTTGTTAAACATTTTACTGCGACATACATTCCCGTAACTAACTGGGGACTGCGTAAAATCTTCATAAAATATTAACAGCGTTTGCTTACATTTCAACCAAAATTTATTTTTACTAGCATCTAATGCTCAGTGGGTACCCTAAGGGCGGATTTCAACAGTAGCGTAAATAAATTATTTATACGAAATGATGTGTGAGCAAAACGATTCGTTTATTAGGATAAAACAAACAGCTACCAGTAAAAAGTCCTATTAGATTAAGACAAACAATAGAGCATCTATCGGTACTTTCTAATAATTTTTAACCAGCTGAAATTCTATTTTTAAATAAATTTAATTTGAACTAGAATCTTGCATTTTTTTTCTGCGTCGATCTCAACCGGTCTTGTGGCGCCGCCAATGACCTGAGATTTGGCCGGTCAATGATCTATCAAATGTAAACCTCTTGTAATGAATATTAATATTTATACATTTTAATAAGTCTCTATGGAGCCTTAAAATAAATGTCTCTGTCTCTCTCGGTGTTGTCAACTCTTCATTAATCACTATATCTTAGTAACCCTTTGGCCTTTGCAAGTGTTTTTTCCTGTTTCAATGATTGGCACGCATATATGAGTATCATTAAAGAATAACAATATTATTATGCAATGCTAATAAATAATATTTATTGTACTTCCCTTTACTGCAAATAAAAAAAAAATAACCTGATCAGCTACTACAAGCTACAGATAATAAAATTAAGTAAAAATATTTAGGGCATTTATTGTTTAATTTGTACCATTCTGCCAGACTGCATTTAAAAAAAAACAGTGACCTCAACCTAAAATTCTATTAAGGTTTTATGACATAAAATTAAAGTTATTAAGATAAAGGGTAAACATACAATTGTAAGTCATTAAAACCATAACTATGTGTATTGAGATGTTTCACCCTTCATTCAATAAACTTAGATTACAAATTATCTTAAAGTTACTGTTTTATTATGTAAATATTTATCATGCACTTGGTATTACAATTAACCAGAGATAACATAAGTTGTATAGAAATTCTTTGGAGATGTTTCTTAATTATCGAAATGATTAAATAATTAGTAGGTCATTTTCAGAACAGGCAACTAGAACACTTGTCTAAATTAATCCAGTTTAGTTTTAACATACCAGGGTTATTAAAACAAAATTTATTATTTCTACATAAAAGATGAATTTCTTTGATTTAAGTAATATTTTTTTGAAAAATTCACATGTGCTTGTCACCCAGACCCAGTTATTTCTGGATGACACAATGTCGTTTCGTAAGGGAATTGAATGCAGCAGTCCATTGCACAGCCGCTACACCAACATTGTAGTCTATCATACCATTCCGACCAACCCCGTAGTTTTTGTTATGGCATCATCATATTATGGTATTTTTGGGTCAGTGGTATTTAGTCTCCATAAGAAGATAAAGAATACTCTCCTAATTCAAGATTTATTATCATGTAATAAAGATTAAATTTGTTTACAAAATATTTGTGCTACCTAGACTATAGGAAATTTCCTACTGAAATTATGTGGCAATAGCTTTTCAATTTACATTATTTAGATATGATATAGTGATAATTATATTAGAATACACATTTAGTCACCAATGAGGAGTAGAAAACAGATAATGTATCCTATATTTATTATAAGCTTTGTTTTTTTGCACTCTGTTGGATAACCCATACTGTGATGTCACAATGGTAACATAAGATTTATTTATTTTACTTAAGATTCTGTGGCTACTTTTTTCTTATTGCAAAAAAGTCATGGAGCATGCCTGATCATAAAAGAGTTCTTGAACAATAAGATTTATTTCATTTTATTACCCTTATTCAGATGAAATATTGGTATTTTATACCGAATTAGATAAATATTACCTGTTATCCAACTGTTATTTTTTTAAAGAAAAATTACCCTTTATAGAAAAAGGTCTGCTTAATAGCTGTTATAATGAATAAGTAATCCTATCAAACATGATGCAGTTGCATTATTTAAATGCAACTCCTATTAATTTATTCGGAAAAAATATAAAATTGACTGGTCAAAATAATTCGGTCCAAAGTCCACAGTTCGCGATAGTTCTATGTGACGTCATGAGTATCGTTTCTTATCTAAACTTCCTATTGGATCTCCCCTAGCGGCACACACGCGTAATGGACAAACTACAGCTCGGAGGCGAAACGAACGTCAACCGAATTTTTTTAAGTAAATAAATGACGTTTTATTCCATGTAGTACTTAATTATTGTCTTGTCTCTCTATCCAACTAGACTAGCAAAGATGTTACGTCATTTACGACCATATTTTTTTACTTTTTGCTCCTTCTTAAAACTGTCATATTCGCTTATGAGCACTTCTCCTTCTTAAAAACGCCTGTGACTCCTCCGGTGCTGCAGGTGTCCGTGGGCGGCGCCGATCACTTACCATCAGGTGGTCTGCCTGCTCGCTGCCTCCTATTCCATAAAAAAGCAGACTCAAGGATACTGACATCGTCCTTGTACTAAATAACTACAATTTGCATGTCATTCAAGGATTATGTAGGCACTAAATAGCTTATTACAAAATTCATGTTTATCACAGCTATCTTTTAGATAACAATCGCGTGCCGTACCGCGATCAAAGGCGACGTTGCTTATACAGTTGTACTGAATCATGTAGGTACTAGGTAAATATTGTTATTCGAAAGTTAAGGGCTTCATCGTCATTCGTCGGAACACAGCTACTGTTTTTTTTTTATGTAATAGGTCGGCAAACGAGCAGACGGATTACCTGATGGTAAGCAATCAGCGCCGCCCATGGACACTCGCAACGGTGGAGTTACGAGTGCGTTGCCGACCTTTCAGGGATTAGGGATTTGGAGATATAGGGATTGAGGAGGGATTGGGGAAGGGGAAGGATTGGGCCTCCGGTAACCTCACTCACACGGCGAAACACAACGCAGTGGTTATTTCACGCCGGTTTTCTGTGAGGCCGTGGTATCACTCCGGTCGAGCCGACCCATTCGTGCCGAAGCATGGCTCTCCCACACTTAAACTTTGAACAAAGACCTCCTTTAAGATAGTTTTTCTCAATGATAATTCTCTCTGCTATGGCGATCCTGGCATGGCTGACCTATTATTAGTCTAATTTAGTGTAATTTATACTCAATGTCGAGAATAAACTTTTAGGGAAAATTCTTGAAAAAATGAAATCATTTCTGCAAAGAGAACGTTACAACGTAAAACTCATAATAAAAATGACAAATCGTAGGAATAACTTAGGAATTAATAGGTGTATGTTTATTATCAATAAGAATCTAGGGAAATAACTGTCCTAACGTATCATTTACATTATCAAAGTTTTCCATTGCCTAATTTAAAAGACCTAGGTACAGTCATTGCATATGGTAGGTAAATATTTGATTGGCAAAAACCGCTCATGTTACAACGAAATAAAGTCCATTCAATATCGTTACTATGTACTTATAGAGAGTAATAGCTCTATCCGTCATTGTCATTCGTGTGTGCATTGTGATTTGAGTACTGCCTTGACGATATTACGTCGTCAGTCCGTTAGATTGGATAGTCAGGCTATACTTAAACTCAATAATCTTTCGCGGTCCTGGCTTGGGCCAGAAGTACGATGTGGTTTTTAGTCAGAGTCAGTAAGAGTCTGACCCATCATCACCCCTCAAAATTAAGGCTATAAAATATGACGTGTACTTAGGGGTAACACTAATTGCAAAGAAATTGGTCATGAATGAAGCTGTTGTTTGAGGATTGTCTTTAAAGTTATCCAGCCATTAAACTAAGTAATATTTAGAGTAGTATTTAAATTTGTAGCAGTCTTCCTATTATATGAGACTCGTAACACTATATTTTTTCCTTCTTTTAAGAGTGATGTAATACCTAGCCTTCCCTTTTCCTCTAGGAAAAGTCTCATGATAATAATTCCCATTACTAATCAGTCTTCAATAAAGGAAATTTCCATTCCTTTTAAAAAATGAACATGATTGTCTATTTGATTCAACTGGTGGGCGTGCATGGATAGTGTTCTATTTTTCTACTGAAATATTGCTGAGTGCTTCATAAAGGCACTTCATAATTCAGTGCTGGTGCGGACTTCATAAAAGTTCATCCGAAGTTCTCCAGCTGTTTATGACCTTCGCGAAATGTGTCCACGTTATGAACATACCTCCTCAACCTAAATATTTATTAATCAAAAGCCCCATATTCAGTACGTTTTCCTGTTCTTTTAATAAATCATCCCATGTAACATTAATAAATTATTAAATTAACCGGTTATTTATTCGTTAATTTATTCAATTGTAACTAAATTTAATTCTTACGTATGTAGATAGATAGGTACTGTACAAATATATTGTTTTCTTAGTTTTCAAATGCAAATAGCCTGAATGCAGAAACTTAGATTTGTCTAAAACATAACTATTAAACACTGCTGAAACATATGTTTTAGTTATTACAAGTTAGGTACATAACATGCACGTAAATATACCGTAATATGGTAGACAAATACTGGTATATGCCCTTGTCAAAATAGAATTCGTAAGATCTTGTTTGCCTACCGAATCGGTGTATTTATATGATATATTATAACGGCTGTAGGTACTTTTAAAGGGTTAAACACGTGAGTGTGTAAGCTTTCAATTCGATGTTTACGAAAAAGGAAATTTGTTCAAATTATACCTTTCCACCAGTACTTTAATGAATGACTAAAGAATAGTTAAAACTTGGAAATAAAGCTAATAAATCTGAACTAACTACTTAATCAAAGAACTCATATTAGTCTTTATTGCATTTATTGAAAAAACAACTTACGTGGTATAACTAAGAAAAACTCCCCTAGTTTCTTGTAAATTACTTCACGAGAGCAAAACATTGTTTTCAATAACTTCAATGTGTTCCAATATACGACAATCTTTACCAAAAACTAAAGCTTAATCGATGCAGTCACACTGCACTCAAAAGTCTACACACATACCTACAATTTATATCATTAAACCATGTTGGTACCTAGTAAATTTTCTTGCATTACTTGCGATAATCGAGTTTTATGGATGAAAACTCGATACGCTAGTTAAACCGGACTAGCTCAACATTTATTTTTATACATATGTATGTATATATTCTAGTGGAGTCGACAAACTTCCCATTTCTAGGACAAGGCGAAATAGTTTTTATTTGAGCCACCATGAACCTTCGTACTTGACCATTACATGTTTGCACGCCATGTCGTGTATCTAATGAATAAAACTGTTCACTATTGTTAGGACAAAACCAAATATAACTAACAAGCTTCTCACGCTCGGTTTTACCTGCTGCTCGGATCCATTTGATCGTAGCGTGATGTTTTAGAGCCTACAGCTTTCCTCGATAAAGGTACGATCGAATACAAAAATAATTGTTAAATTCGGACCAGTAGTTCCGGAGATAATCGCCGTTAAACAAATAAAGAAAACAGCTTTATAACATTGGTCACTCACACTCACTCACATACATATACTAGACCTAACTGTTAGTTTAAAACATGTTGTAACACTGATTAATTAAGTGTGATTTACGCACCTTTCTCAAAATGCAGGGATATATTATTCGGTGGTGGGAAAGCTTTTCTCATTGCGATCAGTGTATGGAGTAGGGCTCCTATTATGTGATAACTCACATACATGTTATTCGATTACCCAGAATTTTTGACATTTTTGTTATCAAACCCATTTGAAGTTAATCAGGAATTCGGAAAACCATTTTCATTGCATATACTTACATTCATTTTTGCAGATTGTAATATCTGTAAATCAATGTTTTCTATTTCTCCAGGTATGGAGTGGGAAGGGCCGCCCAAGCAAGGCTTGTACGACCCACAGAACGAGCACGAGGCTTGCGGTGTTGGTTTTGTTGTTGCTATCGACGGAAAACGTACCCATAAAGTAAGTTCACTCTTATATAATCAACCCCTATCAATTTTCTATTTGTAGCTCTTTTAACAGTTGAAACATAAATAACTAATACCCTAACATACAGTTCTGCAGAAAACCAAAATCTTCGTTTAAAAATAAAAACGTTACGATGTTTTCTATTAATATTCTATAAAAAGATTGTTTTGTAAAGTTACAGTTGCGTTGGGCACGTTGTTTTATTTTTATTTCAGTTCTTTAGAGAAACAATGTATTAGGTCTTTGGTTTCGATCCCCATAACATTTTATATAGGCTTCGCTAAGATTATATTTATGAAGCAAACAACATGGTGCAACGCTGATACAAAATTTCTCTACTACTTAATGGATGTTACTATAACATATTCGATATGTGTTTTAATACATTTCATAAAAAAACGTTCCTCTTCAATCACTCTATTATTAACAAAACCGTATAAAATCCGTTGCGTAGTTTTAAAGATTTAAGCATACATAGGGATATAGAAAACGACTTTGTTTTATATTATGTAGTGATGTCTCACCTACACCCTAAATGACGTCGATAGATCGAACTAGAAGTGATAGTGATACTCCAACTGGATAGTGATCCAGTTGGAGTATCACTATCACTATCCAGATACACAAAGAGGGCCTTAGTCGAAAGCCAATCTATAGCTTTTACAATACGTATGTATAGGGCAGAGCTCTCAGTCGTTGCCTGGTAACGTTAATTAATTTGGGCTGAGAGCTGTCTGCTCCATTCTATAGAATTGTATCGAATATCAATGGATATCGTCAACCCTTTCAAGTCATACGCTTCTAATTAGTGCGTCTAAAATGCAACAAAAGCGGGAGATGTATTTAAGCAGATTTTTATGAGGATACCAGATTTTTTTGATACTGTTAAAGAAAGAAAGAAAGAAACATTTATTCACATAGAACACAGGTGTTAATAAAATAGTGGTGTACAGTTCAGGCTGTATTCTGACTACGTTAGGCATACAAATATTTTTTTTAAACGAATACAAATAATAATGAAACATACTCAGCTTAAAAGCAAAATAGGTCTGGTAGAAGACAGGAAGAATGGGCAATCATAATGTGCATTCTTGACATTTGGCATTTACAGACACAATAAAATGTTCAGTTAAAGTGCCAATACTTTTGGTTGTATATGCATTTTTACTACATTATTTGGAAGCTTTTCAGCTTCGTTGCATTTTATGGTGTTTTACTTGGCAACCATACATTGCTTCTGTATTATGTAGACCTAAACATAATGTAATTTCTTAGTTTGGAATTTTACCAAATTTGGCGTGGCGCAACGATCGTTTTACAGTCACTCTGTGACTCTCATGTGTAAGATTTCGTAAAATATTCAAATTCAATTATTCGCTAATATATAGTAGTAGTAGGTAGTTACATTATTTTTATAACAAAGTATGTAGTATGTATAGTATATATGTATATAATATATGTTGGTGCGTCTAACCTTCTGCCTTTCAGCAGGATAATTCTAATTAGCTTCAGACATCGTATTGTACAAGAAACAATTTGCGTCATACGGCTTCGTCGTTTTCGCTTTACAAATGACGTCTAGAAAATAACGACAGACAAACAAGAATTTGAACTTCGACATTGATAAATTGTACTCATAATTCCTTTGATAGACAAGTTTTTGTTTTTTTGTTTATCATTTTAATGTTTAATATGAGATAAGGAACTGCACACGGTGGTGTTAAAAAATGAACTTCACATTTTACACTTACGATGATAGAAATTGAACGGTTCTAAAAAAAAGTTGAAGAATATGATATATGATAATTGTGTTCAATGTAGAGAAGAAAAAAGTTATTATGACTATTCAATAATTATATTATACAAACAATATGAAGACGAAAACAGTAATTATGGCTATTCAATAAAGTTTCACATTTTCATCTAGATCGTCCGAGATGCAGAGACGCTCGCAAAGCGCATGGAGCACCGTGGCGCGTGCGCATGCGACAACGACACCGGTGACGGCGCGGGAGTGCTAACTGCTATACCGCATCAGTTCTACTGTGCTCAGCTAAGGTAAGACATCTTAGAATGTTAGACAAAAACGAAATACAATTTCAATCAATCCACAAACATTTTGCTAACGACTCAGCGTACGTTAGGGCTCATAACGACTTGTAGCTCGAAATTGGTCGGGTATCCCCGAAATAGTGTTACATAAAAATGAGTAAACCGTACTAACATAATATCGTTAAGTAAGAAATAGTAGTAGTTCAGTGTAAAATTGCGATGGTGGTAAAGAATTTTCACTTAATATTCGAAGGAAAAGATCACTTAATTTTCGAAGGTCTTGTAGTAAAATACGCTACCGTATTTTGATATTCGTCGGGCAAAACGCCAATGAGGTTATTCCCGAAGACTCGGAAACTCGGGCAGAACAATAATTCATCACTAATGCATTACTTTTAGTGTTTTTGGAGTTAGTACTGAAACGAATTATTTTATAATTATCGATCGTTACTGAAACCGGAGTAATGTTCTGATGGTATGTTTAAAGAGATTGATCAAAGTGAAACTATTTTGTTTGATATAGATCTACTGATGTTGTACGATTGTAAAATTGTAAACTAAGATTTGTTTATTGCCATTATATCTGATATTGTAAGCCGTATAACCGAGAAGCAAAATACATTTTTATGACTATTCAAATAAAATCGATAACTGCATCAAACGATAAGTGTTCGAATTTAGAGAATTTGAATCTCTTAGCCCCAAAAAGACCGGCATCGCACTTACAACTCCTGGGTTATAAGACTGCTCGTCTGCTGGGCTATCCCATAAAAACAAATACATCATGTTCTTAGCGAAAGCTGGCGATGAATTTAATTCACTTTAAAAAAAGTGTATAAAAACGCTCGTCTCTTCACTGACGGAAGAACCAAACCCTAACATCAATTTAATTGATTAAAAGTCTAAACTTTGTGGGCTTTGGCAAGTTGCCAATCGGTACAAGAACAATTCTACCCACAGCCTTACACTTGGCATCTAGCCAGATGGTCGGAAAATCGATACGACATGACAAACTGGAACAAAACGTTCTCCAGCGTGGAAAATATATTGGGAAAATGGGTTGAATGGATGTTTATGCAACCGTCAAGAAATCTCTCATTTTTTCGATAAAAAATTTAAGAGCTTAATATTCCACGAAAATGTTTGAACCACGCGTGTTTTATTGGTCATTATTTCTACTTACTTGTAGATAGTATTCAACTATTTTATACATAAATCGAATCTATACTTTGTCAATCGTGATTCATATGACCAGATAAGACCCATATTCCAGAACTGTCCAGGACCTCCATAAAATGCTAATATATCTGCCATTTTATAAATTTACAACCTTTTCTCACTGAATGTAAAAAAGGTTTGTTGATTTTGCGCTGTATATCATGTGCTGTCTGTACTTATTTAAATGCAGAATCAAATAATCCTGGTATTTCCTTGTGCGAGTTTAATGATAAGCAAATAAACTTAACCACCTGGAATAATTTTGAATAATGATTATGATTAACATGATTGCTAGCTGTAACGATATTAGGTACAAGTTACGTGAAGGACGCTATTTTATGAAAGTGCAACCTTTTTTGTCTCTTTTGAACATCACTATTATAAAACAATTTAAATATCCTTATAGAAAAAAAATATTTTAAAAAGATCGTTAGTTACTATAATACTCTGGTTAAACAAACACGAGCAGAATTAAAAAAAACATTGTGTGAAATTGCATTTACATAGTAAGTTTTTTATAGTTATAGTACAGATTTTCACGTTCCGAAGTGCTTTAAAAATAATAGTTATTTTCATTGAGCAGTTTGAATAATGCATTGCACTTCGCTCTGTTATTTCAAGTACCGTTAGACACATAGAGATGGTGAAATATGTGAATGATTCAAGAACACTAACAACGAATACTGCGCAAATAGTATAGAAATAAAATTGGTTGTTATGAGTTGTGGGATGATGAGGAAAGGCTGGGGGATAACGATCCTTTCATAGCGAGTACATTGCTCTTCCCTCTCGTCATATTAATACAAAGACACGTTGATTACATATACATAGTAACATGAGGCATCCTGCTTACGCATTCGTAGAACAGTATCAAACGTAAATAATGACGCAAATGCTGTGATATGTCCTTTCTAAACATTTGAACTGTAATATGGTAAAGTTTACAGTCCAAGTAGGCACTAACATTTTATAACCATGGTTTACCAGTAAACTTCCTCTAGATATCTCGATCCTACGTCTTCTTCTTAATCTTATCTCAAGCTACTAAAAAGACCATGAAACGCTTTCAGTTTATAAATTCTATTTGGATGGTCTTCTTCGGTAATTGATCCTCAATAGTAATAATAAATTCCTAGTCCATTGATTAAAGTCAAAGGACAGTAACTTGATTACTTACACGCTTCATTATCGAACCATGTGACATTACCCTTTGTGGTTTGCGGTGTAGGAAGGACATTATTTACTTGTTGGGCCTTGATCTACGTTATAGACTGCTATAGCGCGTTAAGTAGAATGATTCTGCTGTTATGAAGTTTAGAAACGGCAAATATATAATTAATTCCAGGAAAATCTGTGTCCAGGAAATGGAGTGTTTTATACCTACTCCATTTTGGGGATATGTATTAATCATCAAATAACTTCTCCCTGCCTTAATGTTACTTTTTCTGACTAAAACCACTCCGCTTCTACTCCTACTCCAAGGTGGAAATTACTTGGATTGATTATTATTTGGAAATAAATTAAAAATAATGTTTATTTGTTTTTCATAACGCATCTGTTGTTCTGTTAATGACCTTGATTTGTGGTACTTACAACCTTTATAAAGAAACTTGTTGAATCAAAAGCTACTACTCCACACAGTTCGCAATTCATGTCTAGATCCTCATTTGCCATTGCCCCTTGCAGTACATCAATTACAATGATAGTAGTAGATCGTAAGACCCCTCCCGATCTGGAGCTCTAATATCAACAGGCAATTTGTCTGACCCAGTCACCTATTCGCCAGCAAATAGATAATAGTCGACACAATCCGACAGACCAAGCTACGCAGTAGTTTGATTTATTTATCTATACATTAGTGTTGGGTGTAAGTTTATCGATAGTGCTGTGTGTAATTGTGTATCCTTATCGATACCCCACTGTGGGTAATTATATCGTTATCTCAGCTTTTATTATTACTAGCCACTAGCCAGTATTCATTAGTTAATCTACTATTTTTTTCGTAACTTGCCTATATGTAGGAACTCTCTTAAATTTATCCCATGAAGTGCAAAACGCAACGTAATACTAGTATATTATAATACTCGTATATTGTATAAAGTTGCTTACAATTCCGTTAAATTTAAGAACGAAAGTCCCCTATTGTAAAATTTTCAGTACCTAATAACAGAATAATTATTTTTATTATCACTCGATCAGTTTTGTTGTCATAGCTCTGCATAATATTTATTTATCCATTTATAATAAGTAGTACAATACAATGTAACATTGAATATAACGTAAACAATTTTCAACGTAAGCATGGGTTAGTTTGGTTGCGGGTCAAGCGCAATATATATATAAATAAACTGGGTGGTTTTAGATCAGTAAGAGTTTGACACTCCTTCTTGTCCCAAGAAGGGAGAAGGAATTAAGGAGTTTTCTAATAAAATAAATAACACAAATATTTTGGGGATTTATTAGTGTTTGTAATAATCAAAAATTCTGTCAGGATATGGGCCTCTCTAATGTCATCTCCGTCTCAGGTTTTCTCCTCCTAGAACTGCTAGTCTCTTGCAGCAAATACAATGCAACGTGTTTAAAGAAAAATAAAAATAATCGTATCATTGTATTTCAATTAAATCGAAACTTCCCTTCCCTATTCGATAACACTATTTATGTTCTAAAACAGGACAGCCTTACAACTAGACCTTGAACATTATCTAGGAAAACAGTTTATGTACGACAATTCCTTATTAATTGCTTTCTCATTATTGATAAGGCGTGGGAAAGGTACTAACTACAATTATTTATTTACCTTACATTGATTGAAAAACTACTTATGTAACCTGCAATTCAATGTTTACTGTATACGCCATTCGTAACTGACGAGGAACTCGACTTGTTTCGAGCTACGCTAGGGACTCATAATCATGAGCAGCGTTGCACGATCTAAGGCACGGCAAATATCAAACATTTACGTGAGTAAACCGTTAAACATAATATAAATTTAATGTCTTACGAGAATTATTACACATAAATACCTACAACAGCCACGTTCTACCAAAATCTGAATGCCTAATATAATCCATGCTTTTCCTGAAGTTAACTGAGATTACAATATAAAGGACTGGGGCAGTCCTTGTATTTTCTTTTACACTTTAAATCAACGACGCAAAACTATATACTACACTTATGTACATATATTATTCGGTTCTGCGCAACATTACATAAACCTGCGATAACGTACCCTGACTCGACCTTGAGTCTTCAAAAAGAGGCAATAACCATAATATACCCGTAATAAACCATAGAATTACTAGTTCACTCAAACATCGAATTAGCATTACCAGGCTATTCATCTATCATGACTACACATGACACTTTTCGAATACAAAGTAATGACACAAAATGTCTATATGTTTCCTTATATCAATAGACACTGTCTTTTTTATGTTGTTATGGGCTAGGCAAACGAGCAAACGGATGACTTGATGTTAGGCAATTGTCGACGCCAATCGACACTTTCTACACCAGAATAGTTGCTAATGCGTTGCCGGCTTTTTGGGGTTAGGGATTTAAGGATTGGGCTTTGGGGTACACTCACAAAAAGTACTAGTTATCCTGTAGGTGCATGCATGGTTTAGCTAACAGACATTAGTTTATTGAGTATTTCAAGTTACATGATTAATGTATAGAACGCACAGGTGCGTCGAGGGCACACAGAGTAGCGTAAGGAAACGCACATACGCGTCGGGGGCACTGGATGTGTTAAAGGTGATCTGGAGGTTAAGGCTGTTCTTCTTGCA